AACTTACCTTCCTGAAGAGATTGTAGGTACTGGCAAGGGAGCGATCATATCTTCTTTCTAAGACCCCTACCCCCAGGACAGGGCCTTGGGGCGTAACTGGTACTCAATAAATGTTTGTTACATGAATCAATTTAGTTGGCTCAATCTTGAAATAGCTGTAGTTCAAACAGGTCTATGTCCTTATGTAGAGCCAATTCACTCCTATTGAATAGCCTATTTATACTGTCTACCAGGGAAATAATTTTTTGTTAAGCTAAAGCAATAGGAAGGTGCCAATTAAAGCTAAGAGTTATATAAGAGGGGATATAAATTCCTAAGGGCACTGGGGCTCACTGGCAGTCCCAGTGAAGAAAATGAATGCAATAGGGAATCATTCTTAACATCTGTTTGTTTTTAATACTCCTTGGAGTACCATGGATACCATGGGAACCAAATGCATTACAGGGAAGGTGGCAAAAACTAAAATACCTCACTCCAGCACTACATCAATCTTCTGATTAGAGAAACAAGATTCTTACTCAAAAGTAAAACACATGGAAGAAAAAGGGAGAAGCAAAGCACATTTTGAATTTGGTTCTTAAGGTCGGATCAAGTTTATTTTATGACTTAATACCTTTGCTGGGTCTCTTTGGAGTTGTTTTCTTGCTTCCTTCAGATGTAATTTCAATTTCATCAGGATTACCGCCTTCATCTTCAATTGCCTATTAAAAATATAGAATACATGTTGACTAAAAATGATAGCACGTAAACTTTAAATACAGTTCCTGATTACTTATCTTAAAACGGAATACTATCTAATAAAAACAATTTCATTAACTTAAAAAGTCATCATTTCTGTATAAAATCATTTCAAAACACATGTCTTTTTTGGCTCTGTTTTTTCACTGGTAAAATAGGGGATCTGGACTATATGTCACCTAAAATTTAAATCTATGAGAAATGCAATGAAGCATTATTAAAATTCAATTTATTATGTACTCAAATTGCATCTGGTCCTCATTCTACACTAGAAAGGAAGTGATCTACTTAAAGATGTCAAGAGGAGTTGAATTGCCCTTTAAGCTTCCCAGCTTTTATTTTTGGGGTGTCCTGTCTCCTAGACAGGAATCTTTTGGTATAAAAAGCTTTTTCTGGCCACTCGAACCTACAAGGAGAGGGAAGGAATGAACATCAATCCAAATTTTCCCAATAAAAACGGTACAAAGGAATATGGATAGGGATAAGAACTATAATCAGTAGTACAGGTAACTCTCAGGTAAGCAAACTTGCTCTAAAAATTACAGACAGCATCTTCTTTGCCAAAGGCACTGAGCAGCTGGGTGACAGGGTCAGGAAATGTCAAGAGGCTGGATTCAGATTCGGTCCTCTCTGACTCTGAGGCCAGGCCTGTTCCCACTTGCTGACAGAAAGAAACTAAAAGCCACTATCTCCCTCTGAAGTCTTTTACCAGAGCCAGGTAAACCATGTTGTAAGGCATGTCCTAATATACAATCCTTTCACTTAGGGATTGGGAAAGATGCTGCTGAGGCCTCTTTCAACTCTCACATTCTGTGATTAACTGGCAGGTAAGAGAAATGTTTAATCTATGCTTGAGACCCAACTTTGCCACCTAAATTTTACTAGTGACAATGAAGCCCCATTTCATTATTTTCTTTTTTATGTGTAAAATTGCAGATAACTACAGTATTTACCACAGGACCATAGTAATTTGTAACTGGCTAGTTTCAAGTCATTAAAAACTTAACAGAATGAAAAACTAGTTTACTGCCTGTAGTACTGGATTTGGGAGCAGGGTTTATTAAGTGTGTCATAATTTAGAAACGAAGTGAAAGTTAATTGCATAACCTTGAGGGCAAAGACTTTTGTTTTGAAGATGAAGTATACTATAGCGGGAACAGTGTCAGGAGTCATCTGGGTTTAAACCCCACCTCTGACATTTACCAGCAGTATGATTTAATTTCTCTGAGTCCAAGCTTTTTTATCACTAAAATAGAAAATAATAATGACAAAGTATTTGCCTCACAGCATTGTTTTGAGGCTCAAATGAGAGGATATATACTTTACATATTTTAAAGTGCTACTTGGGTGTCAGCTATCATTTGATTTTGTATCTCCATTGCCTAGCTCATGCTTAGTGAATGTATATTGAAATGAATTGAAAAGATCAATTTTTCCCAGAGCTAGGTTTACCCTGGAAACATGGTCAGAAGCAACCATACCCCTTCCTGGGAAGCAACCAAGTGAATTAGACCAATAGGCCCAACTTTAAAAAACAAAACATAAATCAACACCACTAAGAACTGAATAGTAGGCTGACTCTAGATATTGCCTGAGGCAAGATGTGGAATATTCTCCATCTCAAAAGCTGGACAGTTGTACCCTTGCATCCATTTTTTCCCCATATGAAATAAGGTTACATAAAGGATATGTCCTGAAGGGGAAAAAGAAGTTACAAAAAATCACCTATATGTTCTGTTTATAAGATACGATCTAATTTGTGTAAAGAGCACAAGATTTCTTGAACTTCTGAAATGAGCTGTCACCTAACTTCTATCTTTGTATCTACTTCTTTATCTCCCACCTTTGTTGCCCCCTTAAACCTAGGGTAAAAAACTGAACGACTCCAGTTTCTGCCTCCCCCCCCAAATGAAGATAACACTGTCTCACCTTCCTGGGATGGTTCTACCCCACTACTCGTCCCCCACCATAAACTGTTACCTACAGAAGGCAAGGTCAGTGTCTCCTTTTTATGAAAAACCACTTAACTAGAGATGAAGAAATCATCTACTAATCTCAAAGTACAGTCACCCCTACTGATGATGCTGTGCACAAAATACTTTGTATGTTACCTCTATACACGCTGCATGTCACTGCCCCCAATAAAATTTAAGCTTCTAGAAGGCAAGGACTGTTTTGTTTTTGAATCCTCAGTGCCTACCAGTATATGACACCTAGGTGGCATTTAATGCTTATGGAAAGCAACTGAATGGCAAGGGCCCCAAAATGTTTTTTCATTAAATGGCTTAAAGACAGGAGACAATGTACAAAAGCTCATGAAATCGTATAAGGCGTTATTATCATAATCACCATGGAGGGGGAAGATCTGGATCTCACCATACTTCTTTGCTACAGTATCTGCAATGGCTTCTTATTGTCCCAGTAAAATTAAAATTCCTCTTTCCAGCACTCAAGTCCCTCTACAATCTGGCCCCGCTCTTATCTTACCTAGTTACTCCTTCCTATGAACTCTCTGCTCCGGATATACAGGATTACTTTATCCACAGTACACAAAAACTGGGCTCTCAAACCTCTGCAGACAAAGCAGCACAGCATACAATTTGGCACTAAGGTAGGACTAGGGTTTATATTGTAGGTCTACTTACTAGCTGTGTGAACTTAGGAAGCTACTTTACCTCTCTGGGTCTCAATTTCCTCATCTGTAAAATGAGATTCAGTTCAACAAACATTTTATTAAGTATATCTACCAAGTACTAGCACTGCTAGGATGGAGGAATGCAAAGACCAAATCAAAACAGCCCCTTGCCCTCAACGTTCAGCGGTCTATACTATCTGTAAGGTTCGACTCTAGCAATGATCTTTGCTCTCACACTGTTCCCAAGTCCTAGGACGACCCCCTCTTCTTAAAACTCAACTCATATGTCCCACTTTCCCCAGGAACCTGACTTTGTTGTCTCTCCCTGCCCCCTCACCTTCCCCTTCAGACAACCCACAGCACTTTGTTTAGCAATAAGCTAATTCACCCAAGTATTGTACACTAGACTTATCTCTAAGCCACCCCAAACCCAATCGATTATAAAAACTCCTAGAAGTCTCGGGCCATCTCAGCACCTATTTCCTTTCTCCTCCAAGATCTAGCATAAAAATCCTTAACCAATTTGTCTGTCGAAGCCTATGGACTCCTCCCTGGATTACTTTTAAACATATAAAGCACACAAAATTACCATAAGAACCCGATGATATCGAAGTCGAGAAGTAATTCTTCTCTCCCCCGCCCCTACCTAGTTTTCTCAGTTTCCCCTGACTCCCCGAAATCCTTCCACCGAGCCCAGACTAAGAAGCCCCGGCATAGCGGATTCCGGCCCCCAGCAGGCACTCACTTCGGCGCCCCCTGGCCCGAGCCTCGGGACGTACGAGACGGGGATGGGCGGGGCGCGCGGAGCTCTACGGCCAGGGGTGGGGACTGCGAGGAGGGCGCTATGGCGGGGGAGCTCGAGGGCCCGCCCAGCCCCCAGCGCGCGTGCGCGTGCGCGGCGAGGCCCGCGGCTATGGCGACCCGGCCACTCTCTCAACCCCCCCCTCCCCCATCCATTCTCCCAACCCTCACACTCGACTAGGCCCTAAGAGGCTCCACCTTCTTGAGTCGGTCCATCAAGACGCTCTTGTTGCCGCCGCTGTCCAGGTTCCGCTTCTTCAGCTCGGCCCGGAGGTCAATCACCCGCAGATCGCTTAACCGCCGGGTCCCGGTCTCTGAGGAGGCGGAGCTGAGCCCTGCAGTGACAGAACTGGAATCGCCTGCGCCTGACAAAATCTCCGCCATCCCGAAGGGTCCTACCTCCGCCGCCCAACTCGCACGATTCGGGCGACTGCCACAGCTAGGAACACAAAATGGCGCCGCTTGCGAGGGAGCGGCACCAGCCTCCCCCACCCGTGGCGTCACTGCGCGCGCGCCGAGAAGGTGGTTCTTTTCGGGAGGCGCCCCACCTCCTCCCCAGACGCATGCGCTCTGCCCCTCTGTAACCAGGAAGGAGGGAAGGAAGGAGCTTCACTGTCTAGATGCGCAAGCGCTCAAAACCCAAGCGAACTCCCGCCCTCAAGTAATAGAGCACATGCGTAGCGCAAGTTGGTGTGGGAGGAGCCTTGGATACGTCTGTGTATCACGTGGGTGATTTGCGTGCGCTCCTACCGCACGCATGTGCAAACTCCCTCCGTGAGAGAGGGGAGGAAAAAAAAGCCAAGTCGGTTGGCGCGCATGCGTAACCGGAAAGGAGGCAGGCTAGTGCGTTTTCCTCGCAAACGGCGCCATTTTGTGTTCGGAACTGCCGCAGCGACTGCTGTGTGTGGTGAGGTGGGCAGCGAAGACAGGGCACCCAGGATGGCAGAGGCTCTGTCAGTGGCGGGCGATTCGGGATCTGGCTCGGCGGGTCTCGGCTCCGGCTCTTCGGAGACCGGGACCCGGAGGCTAAGCGATCTGCGAGTGATCGACCTCCGGGCCGAGCTGAAGAAGCGGAACCTGGACACCGGCGGCAACAAGAGTGTCCTGATGGACCGACTCAAGAAGGTGAGGGACCGGGGCACATCCGGGGCCCCGGCTATCGGTTTGGAGGGGGCGGGGGGAGAAGAAGACGAGGCCCGTGCGTGAGCCTGTCGCCGCGCACGCGTATTTGAGGCTGGGGTAAGGGGGGGGGCACGCCCCTTTGCTCGGGTCCTGGCACCTTTTTCTGCGGCGCGCGCCCCCCCCCAGCAGCCCTTGTCAACTTGCTCACCCCACCCTGCCAGGAAAAATCTGGGGAACGAGCGCGCTGGAACGGACCCGGATTCTTGGGGAACCGACATGCTGGGAAGTTTGTGTCTGGGTGGGAGGGAGAGAACTAGGGAGAGAGTACTGAATGTTCTAAGGGCTCTGGCTGCTGTCCATCCGGCTTGGAGAGTGGTTATTCTGCACAGAGCCGCGACCCTTTGACCTTTTGCCCCGATCAGTACCTTTCTCTCACGCGGTACAAAGTTCAAACAACCTGTTGGTTTCTGGTGAACTTTCCAAAAATCACTGGTAAATACATGCAGTACACATAAATGAACGTCCTGGGTTTAAGTCCAGTGTCCGTTAAGAAATGTAAATCATCACTTCAAACGAATATAAGCCATCTTGGGATGTGATAGTGAAGTTTACCTGACTCTTGACTTCTGGAGTTCTTGCCCAGCCAGACCAGCAGAACAAGAGTAAGGGAACCAAATGTTTATTACAGCAAAAGTTTATTGCTAGTAAAGCACATAATGTCATGCACCTAATAAGTTCTCATGAAACTAATATCTTAATAGGCTATTGAGGAAGAAGGGGGTGATCCTGATGAAATTGAGATTGCATCAGAAGCTACCAGCAAGAAAATTGCAAAGAGGTGTATGAAAGGTATGTGTGCAAACTCAAGATAGAGGTTTTGGTGAACTGGAGAAGGCAGAGAACACCTTTTCTGTTTACATTTTGGCTGTATTTCTCAGATTAATGTAGTTTTGATTTTACGTTTTTGAAAAGTGAGTTTAGATTAGCATTTAGTTGAACTAGGCAGAGAGCCAAGCAGGTGCTTTCAAATGCCCACAGGCTGATAGAGTTACCAGTGTACCTAATTCCAGTTTTATTTAATAATTACGCTCTTGATAACAGTTATAAGAGTTTTCATTTTCATATGGCTTTTAAATAAAAAATTAAGTACTTTGACTTATATTATCTCATTTGATCTTGACCATGTGTTTGAGATAGTTGGGGAAAGTGGAATTTATGTTGCCTGATTTTCAAATGAGGAAGAAACACATTAGTCAGTTGACTGGCATGTTGATATCAGTTGACTAGAATGTTAATGTGAATTAACTGGTCCTTTGAAAATAGTATATCTGTAAGAACACTTACCAAATACTTTGGATCATCAAAAAATACTGTTCACATTCCTTTTCCTTCCCAAATTTTGATCCATTTTAGGACTGATGGGCTAGAGCAGGCTAGCATATTGTGATTATTTTGATATGGGCACTTATGTTCCATTGTGTACAATTTTAAGTTTTCCTGTCACAGAGATATTATATAAATATATCCTATTATTATGGCTTTACATAGTAACATTTTTAGCTCAGGTAGTACTGTTTTTTCTTCCTTTGATAAATATTCCTTAATATTTTTTATTCTGAATTTAAATATTTTAAAAATTCCATATATTAATGGAAAAATATCAGAGATTGTATGTGAAACAGTCTCCATACTGTTTTTTTAAAAAATGAAAATTTTTTGTTATTTTCAAAACTGTTCTCTTTGTGCTTCCTTCTAAACATTTTTCGGTTCCTTCCTGTGCATTTTAAAAATTGTTTTAGTTGCCATATTCTTTTGTGGGGTTTTTTTGGACATTATTTCTAACATCCTATCTTCCCAGCTCCTTTCTCCCCAATTGAAAACTGAAGGGGGAAAAAAACCCATGTAACAAATAACCATAAATCAAGGAAATGATCAGTGTAGTAGCTATGCCCCTAAATGATATGTTTCCTCCTACATCTTGAGTCACTTACCTCAGGAGGTGGTTAGGAGGTAGGTAACATACTTCTCCATATACATGTACATGGGATAACTGATTGAAAGACAAGAACTCTAGTCAATGCAGTGATCAAAGTTGTTTTCTTTTATGGTATTGTTGTCCTTGTATGAATTGTTCTGGTTCTGCTAACTTTACATCAGTTTATACTACCCCCTTGATTTTCTGCATTCATCTTTTTTGTCATTTCCTATGATGAAATATTGTTCCATTACATTCATATACCATAATCTGTTTTGCCATTGATGAGTATCCTCTTAGATCTTTTTTCCCCTTCCTTCTCCCCCCGCCCCCCACTTCACTGTCAAGAAGTTTGTTTTCCTTGTGGTATTATCTTCCCTCTTAACCCTCTCTCCCTACTTCCATTTGAGTTTTATGTATTTCTGCACCAAGTGGTATCTACATTTAGCCCTATTTTATCCATTTTATGAGTGAGCTTTATTAGATGCCTGCTTCCATTACTGCTTTCTCCATTTTTTTATACTCATGCACAGTGATTATGAAAATAGCAAGTCTCACCCCATTCTCTTTCCATTGGTGTATTTCTTATCTTAGAACTCTCAGAACAAAATAAGTCTACTACTCCCTAAAGCAAATTTTTTATTTCAATTACCAAGCATTATTTTTTCTTTACCTACCTCTCCCCCCTTCCACTGGAAAAAATAAGAAAAATAACCCTTATAATGAATATGAATAGTCAGAGAAAATATTACTTTATTGGCCTAGTCCAAGAAATATATATATCTCATTCTGCACCCTAAATCCTTCACCTCTTTATTAGGAGGTGGACAGCATGTTTCATCAGCAGTCTTCTAGAATTGTGGATACTCATTGATAGAGTTCTTAAGTCTTTCAAAGTTTTTGTCCTTACAGTGTTACAGTTATTGTATAAGTTATTCTTCTGATTTGTGTCATTTCACTCTGCATCAGTTCTTTCCTACAACATAAAAGGCTACTATAAATATTTTTGTACACATGAGTCTTTTTCTCTTTGTTTGGTCTCCTTGGAGTATAGACCTAATAGTGGTATAACTGGGTCAGAGGATAGTCGCAATTTAATAACTTTCTGGCATAATTTCAGATTGCTTTCATGAATAGCTAAACCAATTCACAGCTCCACCAATAATGTATTAGTATTCTGGTTTTATTTCCTAACACCAGTCAGTTAACTTTTTTGTCTACTTTGCCAATCTGATGGGTGTGAAGTGGGGACTCAGAGTTGCTTTAATTTGCATTTCTCTAATTATGAATGATATGTAGCATTTTCTCATGGCTATAGAAAACTTGAGAATTGCATATTAATATCCTTTGACTATTATCAATTGGCAGATAGCTCTTATTCTTACCGATTTGAATCTGTTCCTTATATATCTTATAAATGAGGCTTTTATCAGAGAAAATTTGTTGCAAGGGTTTTCCCCCACCAGTTAACTGTTTCCTTTCTAATCTTAGTTGTGTTGGATTTGTTTATGCAAAAGCTTTAATTTTATGTAATCAAAATTGTCCATTTTATCTTAAGTGATTGTCTGTCCTTTGGTCATAGATCTGAAAGGTAATTTTTTCCTCGTTCTTCTAATTTGTAATGTCATCTTTTATAGCTAAGTTGTGTGTCCATTTGGAGCTTATCTTGATATAAGATTTAAGATGTTAGTCTAAACCTAGTTTCTGTTAGACTGCTACGCAGTTTTCTCAGCATTTTTTGTCAAATGGACCTTACCCTAGTACCTGGGATCTTTGGGTTTATCAAACACTAGGTTATTAAAGTAGATTACTTTGGCATGTTGTATACCATATGTGTTTGAGTGGTCAACCTCTCTATTTTTAAATTAGTATAAAATTGTTTTGGTAATTACTTTTTTTTTTTATAAGTTTGGGAATCTGGTACTGCTGGGCCCCCTTTTTGCTTTTAAAAAAAAACTTCCCTTGAGATTCTTGATCTATTGATTCTTCAAATGAATTTTGTCATTTTTTTCTAGTTTTACAAAATGATCCTTTGATAGTTTGGTTTAGCATTGAAGAAGTAAATTAATTTAGGTAGTATTGGCATTTTTTCTTGTATTTGTATTTCAATGTAATTTCTTACCTCTGGTCTTTCTATCAGAAAAGCTTGAAACCCCTGTAGTCCATTTCCCTCCCCCTCTCCCCTTATAGATTATATTCAGCTTTGCAGGGTAAGTTATTTTTGTTTGTAAGTCTATCATTTGCCTTTTGGAATTTTCCAAGATCTCCTCTCATAAGCAGTAGAGACTACCAGGTCTTGTGTGATCCTAACTGGTTTCTTGGTACTTGACTTGCTTCTTTCAGGATGCTTGCAGTGTTTTTTGGTTTTTTTGTTTTTTTGTTTTTTTGCTATGGGGATTCATAATTTTGTCTGTGATATTCCCAGGACTTTTCATTTTTGGATTGTTTCTTTGTTTTGGTTTCTGGTTCTAATAGATCTGGGCAGTTTCCATTTATGATTTCTTGAAATGTAGTGTTAAGGCTTTTTTTAAAAAGGGTTTTTAGGGAGTCTGATGATTCTTAAATTAATACCTCCTTGACCTGTTTTCCAGGTCAGTTATTTATGATGCCAGATAGCTTACTTTTTTTTTCCCCCAATCTTTAGATTTTGTTCTAATATTTCTTGCTGTCTCACAGAGTCATTGATTTCTGTTTGGTCTGTTCTAGTTTTCAGGGATTCTGTTTCTTGGGTAAGATTTACCACTATCTTCTGAACTATTTATTCTCCTTATTCTTTGCTCCTGAGCTTTTATTTCCTTTTATTATTATTATTATTATTATTTTTTATCTCTTGCTTCATTTCTTCTAGGTATTCATGTAGTCTTTGTGGAAAACCCATCTTTTCCTTTGAGTCACTGCTTGCAGTTGAGGTGGCGCTGCTGTTGAGAGGTCATATCCAGGGCAGTCAACTGAACAGTATTAGCCCATTCACCTAAATTATGGTATAAAAAATTATGATGACATGATTATGAAAGTAAAAGATTCCTTTTGTTTGTGTACATGTATTGTGTACTAAGGAATTTATAAATAAGACAGGACCTTAGTATGTGCTTTTAAGCTATCAATTTGATAAAATTTAGAAAGACTAAAGCACTTAGATTTTGTGTGCAAGACAATAGAAGCACTGAATTGTTCATTTTCTTGGGAAGAAATTTAAAAGCAGCTATTGTTAATAAAGTGTGACTCTACTACAAGCAGTGGAGGACATTGCTTAGAAAATCAGAGTAGAAAATTATTGCTGGCACTATATAAAATTTTAACCTAGATTAGTTTTATTCATTTATTTTTATAACTCTACAGCTGTCTTTGGAAGTTAAACTCTTATAGTGCATTAAAGTCCTTGTAAATTTGGATATGTTTTCTAAAACTAAAATTTTGACAGTTTATAAGGTCTAAAATTAGGTGTGTTTTTTTTTAAAAAAGTTTTTAGTCATAATAAGTTTAAATATCCCCATAGGCATCTCAAAGCAACTCATTTTCCCCTCAAAACCACCCTTCCTAACTTTCCTATTTTACTTGTGGGCACCATGATCCCTCCAGTCACCCAGTATACACTCATTCTCTTACCCCATATAACCAAGAGTTTCCATGATTATAATTTTATGCCTCTCCTGTATGTCCTCAGTGGATGGGTCACTGGGTTTGGAGTCAGGAAGACCTGAGTTCAAATTTAGTCTCAGGAACTTCCTAGCTGTGTGACCCTGGACAAGTTATATAACTTCTATCTGCCTAGTTTACTCATCTGTAAAATGGGGATAATAATAGCACCTACCACCTAGGGTGGTTGCAAAGATCAAAAGAGATAATATTTGTAAAGCACTTAGTATGTGCTAATAAATGCTTCTTCCTTTCCTTCCACTCCTCTGTCCTTCTCTTTCCTCCCCTCCCTTTTCACACAAGTACCACCCTAGTTCAGTAGCCTAATTGGTCTCCTCTCCAATCCATGCTATTAGTTTGCCAAAGTGATTTTCCTAAAACATACTTCTGACCATGTCTCTCTATTACTGGGTAAATTTCGAAGCAGTGTAAAGTCCTGTTTGTCATTTAAAGCCCTCTACAATCTAGTTCCAACCTATTTTTCCAACTTTATATATCATTCTGCTTTCACAAACTAGGGTTTTTGCCTTACTGTTTCTTATATAAGACTCTAATCTTTGGAATGACTGTCCCTCATTTCTGAAGTACGTTCCCTCTTAGAATCCATAGTTTTCTTCAGAACTTGGCTTAATCACTACCCCTTATATGAAGTCTTTTCTGTTTTTCTCTGAAACATGACATTGTATTTTGTATATGCTTACATTTTATCTCTTTTTGAGGGCAGGAACTGTTTTATGCTTAGGACCCGGCTTACACATAGTTAAGACTCTTAACAAATGCTTGTTATGATTCATTGCCACTATTACAATCCATATCTTTATTTTCATTTATAATGAAGAAGAGAATATGTCAGGGTTTCAGAATGCTAATTTTATTTGCCCTGGGGAAATATAAATAATGCTTGTGGTCGGATGTTAATCTGCTTCATCAGAAATTTTATTAGTGTGCAGCTCTGAAATTAGATATGAGAGAACTTTGAGCCTTTTCAGTATGATTTGCGATTTCTCATGCAGTTGAATGTAAAATTCAAGATTCAAGTCAAAGTTACCAGCACTTAAAATAAGGGTTTGGAATACAACAGAACTTAGCCAAGTTTTTCAAATTGCTGTCTAGAGATGGCTCAAGATTAAAATTTTGAATGACTCAAAACTGCTTAGAGTTTAAATTCTTTCTTAAAAGGCTTATATTAATATTCTAACTTAGAAATATAAAAATTATTTTTAAAAGCATTTTGGTCGGTGGCTCTGGATATCATAATTGTGTTTTTGATTAGGACCAATTCTACTAAAATTTAACATGATGTCTTTAAATTAGGTCTTAATTATTCTGTTAAGAAATTATATTGTCTTCTGGAAGCCATGGGCCGCAATTGGACCTATTCCAACAACTGAATAAACTGCCTTTCTTTAAAGATAAAGTATCGCAGTTGTACTCAATTTCCTGTTTTCATATCTGGGAGAGCAGGAAGAAATGTCTCCCCCCTCCATTTTTTAATCTTTTTGCCCTGCGTACTCCCTTCCTCCCCCTCCCCCCTCCATAAGTGGTCTGCTTTTCCTTTGAATAACAAAGGCAGCTGTACAGTACCTTGGTGATAATTTTGAAGGAAAATTGCTTATGTTTATGTAGTTATTGATTTTGGTCACATTTTTGTTGATACATTTAGTTGTGTGTCTCATCCTGCCCTTCTCTCCTTCTCCCTTCCTCCTGCCCCCTTCCCCCCCCATGGCGATTGTTCTACCTTATTCCTGGAACCTGCCCTATTGTGAATGAGTGACTGGGTTTTTTAGACTGAGTGTTTAAATATTAGTGGTACTTTGCATAGATGAGGTGAATTTGATGCCTAAGGTGTTGCTGTGAGTTTGAGGTCATTTCAGGATCTTTACTTTGTGATACAGCAGGTGTCAGCAAGTATTTTATGAGCAGATCAAAGGGTAGCGCTGAATTTTTTTGTGTTTTTAAAACCCTCACACAACTTGAGATTGCAGCCTCTTAGCTGGTATTCTAGTAATAACTAATGTTAAACTAGTAATGACTAATGTTAAACTACTACTTCACAGCAAAAAGAATTTGGATACTTCATGAAATTCATTCTTAGTTTGAATTATACTAAAAGAAGTTGAGCTGTTAAGTCTCTTGCAGTTTTTGCAAAGATGAATTAGGTATGAGAAGAGAATTTCTATAAGAATGTATGATATTTCACAATTATACTGTTGTTAGGGCGTAAGCCAGAGGAAGAGGGTGCTGAAGATAATGGACTAGAGGAAGATTCTGGAGATGGACAGGTAAGTGGAATCATTTTGGTGGTGTAATATACTAGTTCTGCATTTCAGTCCAAGTAGCTATTATATATACTTTTTTTGTTTTTGCAGGAGGACAATGAAACAAGTTTGGATAACTTGCAGGATATAGACATGATGGATATTAGTGTGTTAGATGAGACTGAAATAGATAATGGCAGTGCTGCTGACTGTGGTGAAGACTACAGTGCTGATAATATTCTTGACTCCTTGTCTGATAGTAAAGAAAATGCTGATGCAGAATTGAAACAACTTCCAGATCAGCTTACAGAACATACTGTAGGTAACTTGGAAACATCTCAGAAATGTACCAAAACATTTTTAAAATTCAAAGAAATACAAGCATTGCTGTAGCATCTCCTACATATGTGGAATCAAAGTATTTTAAATCAAATAGATATTGTTATCATTGTCAATAAAGACTTAATTTGGGGTCTAAAAATTTGTGGGATATGAGACTAATTATGTCCATTTAACACTTATGTAGAGCTTATCAACTGTAAAGGATAGCTTGAATTTAGTTTCCATTGTCAGTATTTGACCTTTTATCTTGTTACATTTTTGGCAGGGAGATGGGTTTAATCCTTTCAAGTACTTAATACATTATCTGCATCGTAATAAAAGTTGTTAGAGAGCTGATTAACTATTACTTCAGCAAGAATCTTTTTTTTTTTGCAGCCTTAGGACCATCTGGTCATCTTGGTGTGGACATTTTGTATTGGAATTAATATTTTTTGTAAGATTTATAATCAACTGTAAACTGTAGTGAATTTGAATTACAGGACTGAGCTTAAACACTTGAGTTGGGGGGGGAAATGTAATTCTTAGCATTCTTTCAGCTGAGAATAAGTGAGCACAATTGGAATTGTGTAATAGGGCTGTGTTATTTCTTCTTTGCAGACTTGTATGAGCATTTCTGTATTTACAGCATCTGTTTTCTTTCCTTGTAACTTCAGTAAACATTTCAAACTTAGAAAATAGAAAAGGGAACTGTTATATAAGACAGATTAGTTGTGTGACCATGGGAAGATCACTTAGCCTTCCAGCGCTGTAGAGCCTTCATATGGATAAAATAATACCTCTGGGTCCCTTCTTACTTCCTTTCTCTCCCCTCCCCCACTGAAGATGTTTGGAATTTTCCTTAACAGTTTTCCCTAGATTTAGAGGTAAAAAGAACCTCAGAAGTTCTATTTAATGCATTTTCCTGAATTTTAAAAGTTTCTAATTACTAAGTTCCATTTTAATTTGCAATTTTAAAGCAGAAAAAATAGAAATAGAAAGTAATGTAATTTTTCTTTGTTGCTTTGATTCAAATCTACTGGAATGTGGCCTACATGAGTCAGATATGATGTCTGGAAAGTAAACAGACTGGTGGTTTGGTTTTTTTTCCTCTTAGAAGATTAATGTCTTATTCAGACATCTGATGGCAAAGGTATGATTCTTTTGGTTTCTGTGAGGTAATCTTTCATTTACTCTTTCAGGTGACTGGAGAAGGAGTTGGAAACAATTTGGATGCTTCATCATCAGACTTCACTATAATACAGGTAAATTATCTTTTGGTTCTTAGGATCTTAGTATCTAGATTTAGAACTGAAAGGAACCTCAGATTATCTAGTCTATCCCCTTCGTTTTACAGATGAAGGAACTGAAGCCCAGAAAAGTGAATTGTAACCTAAGATCACACATGTAGTATAAATAGCAGAACCAGGATTTCAGGCCCCCACACCCTCTTGTTCCAGCATTTTTCTAATATTCTATATATTTTTGCTTTTCAGTCCTATCCACTTATTTTCCAAAATGTTTCTTGCACCTATCTCCTTCTTTCTCTTCTCATTGCTACTACTACCTTGTTGCAGGACCTTATCACCTCATGATAAGTTATAAGGCAGTTATAGGAAAAGGAGAATGATCTCAGACTAGATCAGTATACTATTATAGGAACAACTGTAATGAATGTTTGGGGTAAATTCATGACCAAAATATGAACCAAGAAGTTTGGAATTAGAGGAGTCTTAGAAAATCTAGTTCTCTTATTTTAGGTATAAAGATACTAAAATCCAGAAAGGTTTAGGTGTCTGAAAGTTCAAATACTAAATGGCAGATCATGGGGCTCAATTCCCAGGTTCCAAATCCTGGAACTTGGGACGCAACAATTGAAAACTGATTCATTGGGTAATAATAGCATTAGGATGTTGAACTCTAGTGTACAATTTGGTAAACGAGGTCAAGTGAAAAATATGTGAAATTAGTCAGATGTGAAAGTGTGTGGAAGGTATCTGAAACTGAAAATCATAGAAATAATAGCAACAGAAATATGCAAAGATTTTTTAAAGATTTGTTTCCTCAGTGTTGGGTACATCCTCCAGATTTGGGCTTCTCTCCATGCCTTAGTGGATAGTCTTCGTGGATTGGCATGACTCAAAGCAGTCATTACTTAATGGCTAGCTTTCTGATGGTGAGCCTCTTGTCAGGTGGCTACACTAGTCCTCAGGAAAGTCTACCATCTGGCCTGTGCCTGAAGATTTTCCATTGGGATGGGATCTACCTGAGTTTGACCAACATTTAACATAGCCTTCTCTAGTCCAAGATTATAGTTTTGCATTGGTAGAAACTTGTGTTTTTCTGATACTCCGTACAGTTTAAGATAATTTTAAATGATATAATTTGAGTCATATCCCTTGTTCTAAATGGTTGTTTTTGGCAGCTTCACAGGCTAATAGTTTTCTGCTTGAACTGGGCAAAAGCAGATCTGCATAGAGACAAAATTGAGTGAGTCCAGAAAGAGAGGCTTTAATAATCTATTTCTACAGTCTCAAAAATGAGGATTGAGACATGACCCCAAATATCCCATTGGAGGGTGGGAAGTTGGTTTAGATATCACCCTCTTTGTAGTAACCATTCATAGAGCTTTCATATAAGCCATAACTAAAAATCATTATTCCCTGACATTCCACCCCCTTCCTAATTTTTAAGCTGCTATCTCCCCTCCTATCTCTTGCCATCAACCCTTCGGGTCAGTTAAAAACCTAAGGATGCCAAGGCACCTATATAGAAGTACTATTAGGGAAATTCCCCTGTTCCTCCACTCCCTGCCCTCCACGTTGCCCCCATGGGAAGTTTTGTCTTTCTTCCTTAACCCCCAATCTCAGTTTTGTTGTAGGTGAAACAGTCACAGTATTACGTGTGTGATTTGTGAATACACATACTGGGGCTGTCTGCTCAAAAGCGTTTTACTGGTTGAGGTGTGCATTCGGAAAACATGGGACACCACAGTTCTGTAGCAATTGGTTCTTGTGAATTAGATGAAGAATTTGTGTCAAGGAAAATAAAATTGAAAATGTCTAAAGCTAACTTAAAATTATTTTTTAAGTGAAACAATTTGTTTTCTAGAGGCACTGTCCTGTAAATTGTTAGGTAACTTGTTGTTCTACCTACTATGGAAAATGATTGGTTATGGTGCTTTGCTTTGTTTTTCTTCATAGGAAATGAAGAACCACCCTTGGAGCCAGGTACTGTTAAATAGAAACATGAGAGCTATGGCTTGGCAATTTCCCCACTAATCTTTTTTTTTTAAGCTTTTTTTTTTTAAAGAAGTGTGACTGTTGTGTGTTATTTTAATGGTGGACAATCCGGATCATACAAGGATCAGAGATTGGAAACCCAGTCATATCACCAGATCTGTGGAAGTTGTGTTCTGGTTAGTTGAGGTAAAATATTTGTTGAGATGAAATGGTTATTTACATCTTTTTAACCACATTCTTTTAACTGATCTTGAAATAATTTGCCCCAGTCATTCTTTTTACTTCTACACATGAAACAGATCTTGTGATATTGTGCAATATCTTTATTTGATAGTTTTGATTAAAGCAGTTCAGGCAGTTTAAAACTGTTGTAGGGGAAGTTAAAAAACATAAGAAGTAACTGGATTCCAGAAGAGGAAAGACAGTTTCTACATGAGAATTCCAAACGTATTGTTCCCTTTCTGGACTGCAAATAATACTCCTGCACCGTTGGAAGAGTTTCTGGTTTTCATGTTGGACTGTTCTGTTAAAAGAAATTCAAAAGAAATTTCGAAATTGAGCTGTCAGTGAATGGTGATACTTTCGGTTAAAGACCTTGGACTTTGGAAGCTAAGTGTGAAGAGTGAGACGTGAACAACATTGTCAAGAAGAATATCAAGGAACAGCCAGAAGGGTTTTGGGGGTTAAATCTTTGGGGTCCTTTTATCTTCCCTGTAGTTTTTTGAGGCTCAATATATTAGACTGTTGGAGTGCAGGTAGTTTTAAACAGTATAAGTTTGTGTACATCAGGGTTTTCCAATCTCTGTGTAGCTAGCAGTTCTCTTCATGTTAGTGTGGCAGCCGTGCCAGTTCCGCATTTGTGATTGCTTTATTTCCCTGGTAATTAAACCTTGTGCCATTCTATTCCTGTTAAATCCATAGAAAATGAGAAAATACTCGACATTTTGGGGGAAACTTGTAAGTCTGACCCACTAAAAGAAGAAGGTTCCGACCTGGAGCAGCCATTTTCACAGGATGCAAGTAGCGTGGGGCCAAACAAAAAGCTTGCAGAGGAAGAGGACAATTTTGTCACCGCTCATCCAGAGGAGGATGCATTAGATTTGGACAGCGAGTCAACACAAGCAATTGCCAGGAAGGCAGAAAAGCACTCAGATATAGTGAAAAGGGAGAAAAGCGAGCAGAAAGTAGATGAAGAGAAAATGGACTCTGACACTGTAGTGGTAGAGAACCTAACTGATCAGAGTAGCAGAGCATCAGAAAATGCAGAAGCTTCTAGCGAGGAAGCCCAGGAAACGCCAGAGAAAGCCTCAAGCCCTGAAACCAAAGATAGCAAAGAAGACGTTAAGAAAAGTGAAGATGAAGCTAATAACGAAGATTCATCTGCTACTAAAGAGTCCTCTACCAATGAGGGCGGTGATCAGAAAATGAGGTTTGTTTTTTCTCAGTTCTAGACCAGATGCTATCTTTTTTTCATTGGTCATTTAATGACACACATAAGCTGTTTTCTTCAGTTGGCCAGCCAGACTGATGAAATTGTAGTTTACTTCTAGAGTTTGTTTTATTTCCCTTTTGTGCATTTTTAATGGGTGATTTGATTTCTTTCCTTTTCTCAACCTAATATGGTTGTGTGTTTAAATTGTTCCTAATTGTCATCTTCAGCTAAAGAGAATTGACTTTAGGAATCTGACTTATTACATTTTGTCAGATTTCCGATACAAGTTTGCAAAGCTGTCTTTTAAATTTTTATTTCAGACCTAATTTTCTGGTAGGTATTAAGTTGTAGCACATGCCATACTTTTTTTGAGTTAGTTTTCCTAATGCTTTTTCCTGCTTGAGTAACATTAACTTTTGTCTTTAGCTCTGTTGAGGACGACACAGATATAAAACCAACCTTGAAGGATGACAGAGGTATGCTTTTACTTATGGGATGGATAAATTGATTATATATTTTCCCTATTTTGGAAGCAGAGGATTATTCCTTAAATTTATATCATTTCTATTGACACCTTTTAAAGATATGATTCAAAGATGCAGACTATTTTGAAACTTAGTTTTGAAAATCAATTTTCCACTGATGGAAAATTTCGCTAGGACTGCAGAATACTACTTAATTTTATTATGAATAAGGCTAGCTTTTGAATATTTGAGAATTAGCATTTGGTTTTTGAAGGTGGCTGTCATCTCCCAGTGAAATGATAAAAGGCCGTATTATAGCATCATGGTAATTTTTTTTTCCTGACTGGTGAACTCAATGGCAAAAAATTTTGATTATTAAAATTAAATTACCAGTCTTAGAGGGTTGCCTGACAAATAGAAACCATTTGCATCTTGTTACTGGAGCTTGGTGCTTTTAATCATGTTTACTATTCTGGTGAGATGCATGTATAAAGTAACTTACTGCTACCACAAAGATTTTTTATTTGATATCCTGAAAAGCTTTGGAAATTACTGAGGAGCTTGAACTCAGAAAGTTGAAGTTGTGTTGAAGTGGGCTTTTTTGTTTGTTTTTAAATAACAGTTTCTGGTAAAGCTATAATATTTTCTTTTTGAATTTAGGTCGTGCTAGTAGCAGTTCTGGTAGGAATTTGTGGGTTAGTGGACTCTCTTCAACTACCAGAGCCACAGACTTGAAGAACCTTTTCAGCAAATATGGAAAGGTAAGGTCCTGTACCACCTGGCCCCCAATTGTAGCTAGATTTAAATGAATAATTTTAATCTGAAATAGTAGAGATATTTCCCAGAGCACTTTGAACAAATTTTAATCGCTGATATTTTCTTTGTTTACATCACTATCCCTTCTGAATTAATGCTTCTCTTCCTGTCTCTGAATAGAAGCTCCCCTTAAAATAGCTAGTGAAGCAGAACAACCATTTTACCTGTCTAAAAATGGTATGCCTCCTTCTAAACCTGTAGCTGAGGGGAAGGGGGTCAGCCAACTTCTCTATTAGCCCTCTAACATCTTTATCGGTCTACATTGATCGGATTGTGAAGAATTTCCACTGCGTTTGCTTTCACGTTGGTTCACTCCAGTTGACTTTTCCAAGTCACCAAGTTAACTTGTAGCCTTTTATTTCTTGGTGAAAACTACATATAGGCAAGACATGACATTTTATAATAGACTCCGAATATTATCCCATGGACAGTACAGTTCATTGCATCTTTCTCGGAAGGGTCCAGTCACAAACAACTGAGATGTCAGTGGACTCGATGTTAACTGGTCTTGGCATGTAGGACCTAACTAATCATTGCCTTGCTGAATTCCTGATTCTAAGAAAGAATAGAAATAGTTTGCTGATGAATGCTGTTCATTTTGTGTGTGTGTTCAAGGTAGCTAGTTGAAAAATTTATAAGTAGATGAATTGTTGAAATGTGCTTTATGTTTTCCACCATTTAAGGGTGATTTGATTTGATGTACTAGTAGTCACCAGTGTCTCAGTGGTAAGGATTTTATAGATTTATGTATTATTGGGGCTGGAGAGAGCCTTAGATGATATCTCATTACCTTCCCTTATTACTTCTGTGCCCCGCACTAAGGACACAACAACAAAAATGTTAGGAGTCTTTTCCCAAAAGAAACTTACATTCTATTAGGGGAAAATAATATGGGCAAAGATAAACACAAAATATTTATGAAGTAATTTGGAGATAAGAAGGAGGGCGCTAGAACAGGTCAGAAAAGGCCTCACATAGGAGGTGGCACTTGAACTTAGCCATAAAGGTTACCAGGAATTCTGAGAGGCAGAGGAGCAGGTGGTAAAGTGGGTAGAATACTGAATTTGGAGCTTTAAGATCTGAGCTCAAATTCTGTTTCAAACATTTACTGGCTATATGACCCTTGGTGAGTCATTTAACCCAAGCCTCAGTTTCCTCATCGGTAAAATGGGAACAGTAATAGGTCAATATGTAATATAATAAGGATAATAACACATAAAGTGTTTTTCAAATCTTATTATTATTATTATTGTCATCATTGTTATTGTTACTGACATGAGGGTAGGAAGGCATTCCAGGCATTGGGGACAGTCTAACATTATACATATAGCTAGATGGTGCAGTAGATAGAACATTGTGCTTGTAGTCAGGAAGACCCAAGTTCAGATCTAACCTTACATATTTTCTAGCTGTGGGATCCTGGGCAAGTCACTTAACCACTGTTGCCTCAGTTTCCTCACCTGTAAAATGGAATAATAATAGCACCTACCTCCCGGGGTTGTTGTGAGGATCAAATGAGATAATATTTGTGAAGTGCTTAGCACAGTGCTGGCACCTGTTAGCTGCTGCTGTTAGTGCTGAAAGTTACATAGCTAGTGTTATATGATGATTCCAGTATTCTTTCTACTATATCATTCTGCCCTCTTAGTGGGACATGGCAGTGGTGTGGGGGGTGGAATACAGGTTAAAGTTTCCTTGCAAGATTTCTAAATCTTCTATTGTGCTAGATTTTATACTCCTTTGCTTCATGAAAGGAAGGAGCCATAACCCTATTGGAGAGTAAAGACTCCAAACGTGACCACTCAACAAAGTACTTGCTAAGATTTTTTTACTGGGTTCTTCAGGTTGTTTCCTTGGCCAGTTTTAACACAATTAGATGTGACTTACAGATAGGAACTGAGAAAAGCATTATACCTACAAGTATAGCAGTAATAGTTTTGTTGTGCTTTATTGAGCAGTGTGATACAGTGGACAGAGAGCTGACCTTGGAACTAGGAAGACTGAGCTTCAAGTCCCACCCCTACACTTTTAGCTTCATGACCCTGAGCAAGTCAGCTTAACCTAGGAGATGCCCTAGGCAGCCTTCATTGGTAAATGTAGTTGTTGCATCTGAGAGCTCCCTACACTAATAAAATCATGGGTCTAGTTCCTATCCATAAGAGTGTTTGTTGTTGGTTTTTTTTTTAGTAGTAACTGCCTGTGTTCATTTGGACCTAACTTGTCATAAACATAGGAAACAATATCCATGTAAAGCAAGTTTTGGATTTTAAGGTTTGCCTAATGGAAGAAGTGAGAATTCACATGAGCTTATGCGTCCTGGCATCGGTGACCCCCTGATTTATGTAATTATAAATTACTTATATAATTTAAAGGGCTGACAGGGGACATAGCAGTAGTCTCAATCCTAAAATGTTAAAACTAGGAGGAACTTGAGATCATTTGGTCCAGACTTTTCATTTTGCAGATCAGGAAGCTGTTGCCAAGACAGGTTCAAGGACTCGTCTAATGGCATACTTAAAATTGGTGGCAGAGCTACCTCTCTGGATTGAAATTAGAAACTTGGTGATATGCTGCCATGTTCTAGTGCTATGCTTTTTTTGCATTTTGCCTCATCTTTAGTACAGTCTCTTAGATACCCTCACATACATGTGAAGTCCTTTGAAGGATGGGGGCCTTAGCTTGTGGTATGAGTTACAAACAGGTTGGGGAGTGAGAAACAGGGATGAACTATTCTGTGTGATTCCATGGGAACACTGAAATAGGCATAAGAAAATGGGCAGAATGAGAGAGATTCTGACTGAGTCACCAAGATGTCTTTAGTGAGGTTGTATGTAACACTAATTATTTGAATTTGAACTTTGCTTTTTCCCGTATGACGGGCAGGGACCCTTAATCTTCACCTATCATTTTGTTCAGTTGATTGTAAGGAGCTTTTACAGTTTTAAGGAGTACTTCCTATAGCAGTGACAAGTATAATGATGACAACTTTTGGATGTTATTGGCTTGTTATCAGTTTGAACAATTTGTCAGGTTACTTTTGTGTAAAATTTTAAAACTTAAAAAGAAATTGTTTCCTTAAAGGTTGTTGGAGCCAAAGTGGTAACTAATGCTCGTAGTCCAGGGGCACGGTGTTATGGTTTTGTTACGATGTCAACATCTGATGAAGCCACAAAGTGTATTAACCACCTTCACCGAACAGAATTACATGGAAGAATGATCTCAGTAGAAAAAGTAAGTGGTGGCAGTTATGTACTGCTGTGTATCATATAAATGAAAGACCTTCCCTGTTCATCATTTCTGGCCAAATTAATTTTAGGCCAAAAATGAGCCTGCTGGGAAGAAACCTTCTGACCGCAAAGACTGTGAAATAAAAAAGGAAAAATCAGGCAGCGGGGAAAGACATCATTCCACTGACTCCCGGCCTGAAAGGTAAAGGAGTTTTAAAAATGTTGTTCTTTGGTACTTTATGGGTTGTGGGACAGGGAGGAAGACTTGGAAAAGGACCCTTTACAGGTGTGTTACAGTGGTATGGAAACTACATCAGCAGTAGCAACACCAGTGGAGGGAATTACCGGAAAGTATGTTTTGTCATAAGATCTGTACTTAGAGATCATAGGATCATAGATTTATGGCTAAAGATCATGTAGTCCAATTTCTTCATTATAAAGGAGGCAGCTGAGACCCAGACAGGTGAGTTAACCGAGGGTCACACAGTAAGTGATTGAGGTTTTGGTTCTCAGGTGAATTCTCTTTCCACAGTAGTACCCTTGCTGGTTCTCTGGAGCACATTTCCCTTTTATGTATTTGGTATAGTTAGTATTTGTGTTGTGGCTTGCCTCTGTACTCTTTCACCAAGATGATGTTGAAAAGAGGGTTTTTTTTTTAAATCATGAAATTAAGTTCTCTTAGTACTTAGATCGTTAAAGAACTAGAATCATTAAAATTGTACATTTTTCTTTTCACTTTATTTGTGTGAATTATGATTTTAAAGAAGTGCTTGTATCCCTCACACTGCACAGGGTGCCTGCTTCACAGGTAAGCCCAGCAGATGCTTCCTGTTTTCCACATACTGGCAACATAATTTGTTTGCCATTATCTAGTTTTACTCAAATGCTGAAACTGAACCTCTTGAACAGTACTTGTCAGGCTCATGAAACAGTCATAGTTGTTTTATTTTCTTTTTGTTGCTCTCACGGGAAATGTTTTAGAGTAGAATACTTGTGTCGTTATTACTGATAGATAGACCTTGGACATTAAATGTGGAACTGCAAGTTTGCAACATCTTGACCAAACAGCTGCTTGTAGGACAATGAATTATAGATGTCAGCTGAATTAGCTTTTTAAAAATCTTTAAATTTTTTAATTTTTAGGCAATTGGGGTTAAGTGACTTGCCCAGGGTCACACAGCCAGTAAGTGTCTGAGGCCAGATTTGAACTCAGGAAGATGTTTGGTCTGAGGCTGGGTTTGAACTCAGGTCCTCCTGACTTCAGAGCCAGTGCTCTAGCCACTGCGCCACCTAGCTGCCCTAAATTAGCTTCTTATACTTGGAAACAAAACCTATAATTTCATAAGCATTTTTTCATATAAGACTTTGTAGAAAGTATTGGTTAGAATCTAAGGTGGTAGAATATGGGAGCCTGGCCAAATGAGGTGTTTGAATCATTGGAGAGAGATTTTTAAGTTCCTAGTGTGCCTGGTGATGTTGTGGAGGATGCCAGCTCAAGGAGCTTATGATCTGTCTTGTTGACGTGAGAAAGCATCTATTAAACAGCTAAAAAATAATACCAAATATGAATGCCAAAATGTGGTACAGTGAGGACATGCTGGTGGTCAAGAAGGAAAACATAGTGGGTGGAAGAGATGTAGGAAGAGCAATAATGATAACAGCTGTCATATTTACATAACACGTAAAGTGCCTATTATGTGCCAGGCACTGTTCTAAGCACTGGGGTACAAGAAAGGTAAAAGACAGCCCCTGCTCTCAAGGAGTTCATATTCTAATGAGGGACACAGCCCAAACAAATATGTGCACACAAGCTCTGTGTGTCATAAATAGAAAATAATTAATGGAGGAAGACAACTAGAATTGAGCGGGATTGGGAAAGGTTTCATGTAGAATGTGCAGTTTTAACTGAGACTTAAAAGAAACCAGGAGTCAATGATGAGGAGGGAGAGTACTCTAGGTGTGAGGGACAGCCAGAGAAAATACCTGGCTTTGAGAGATGGTGTGTCTTCTTCAAGGAGCTGTCAGGAGTCTAGTGACATCCGTAGGTGGAATGAGTGGAGATTGGAAATGGGGGGGGGGGGAGGCAGGTTAAGAAGGGCTTTAAATGACAGAGATTTTGTATTTGATCATAGGTTTGTTAGGGAGGTGCTGGAATTTAGGAGGAGGGAAGGGTGCGATGTGTTTAGATCCTTTTAATGAGAATTCCATCCTGAAAAATGCAGAGCTTATTTTTTAGGTACTTGAGTCTTATTGCTCTGCTTTTTTTTTTTTTAAACAGAACTGTGATTAAGAGTGAGAAAAAGGATGATAAGAGGTCTGAAGACAGGAGGGATGAAAAAGACCCTGATGAACTGAAACCTGGGTCAGCAGATCGTTCTAGAGCCACCAAATCAGGTAAATCATCTTGGGGTTAATTAAAAGGAACTAAACTAGTCAGTGGTATTAGATATATCCTGAGAATGTATCTCAGCAGTTAGTTGCTGAGTTTTGCTATTTATAGAAAATCCAGAAAAGAAGTACCAGGTGAAAATTCAGGAAAGCAGCTTTCCTTCAATGATGAAATTGACTTTAAGAAAAATTTTAAAAGTTTATAATCATCAATAAAAATTTACATATATACTGAATCTTTACGTGAAACCCTTTCCATTTAACTGAGGAGCACCAGTTGAATTAGCATATAATAAATAAGCATAGAGTACATTTGCTTGTTTCCCTTCTAAATCAGTGTGAAACTGCTGTTTTCGGTTTTTTCCTTAAAAAGAGTCAAAGTTTTTAAAAGTATGTCTATAGTTTTGCAGCTGCTAATCTCTGTGTCTTCATATAGGTCTTCTCATATAGCCTGGCATTGCCTTTTTTTTTTTTTAAACAAGTTGCCAGAAATCTGAAAACATTAACATTAAGAATTACTCGTGTTTGTAGGTAAACTTTGACTCCTGAATTCTTGCTTTCTTTTTTAATAGATTAAGAATTGTGTAGGACTAGGGCAATCATCTTAACAACAATAATAATAGACTTGGTTTTTTATCAGTTTTATGTAATTGCAAGCATTTAAATTAAACATATTATTAAATAGAATATATACTGAACCTTTTCTTGCCATCACATATGCCTCCCTTTCCCATGAAGGCAAAATGATAAGATATGGGGAAGTGAGGGTGGCAAGAATCAGGCCAGTAGTAATTAAAGGTTCCTCCTAATACTTTGTGAGCTTCATTTTGTGTGTCTGTCTGTCTGTGTGTATGTGTATATAATTCTACACTATGTTGGACCCAGCCCTGCTTTTTAGACGCATTGGAATTTTTTGCACATTGTTACATGCTGGATTCTAAATGTTTGTGATAATTTATCTGAGATGCAATCTGATGTCAAACAAGTTGTTTTAAAGATGGCTGGCAAGTATTGCAAATTTAATCAAGTAGATAACTTCTGGAAGGTAGAGTTAGATTGTTTTGCTTTAGGGAAAGAAAATAGATTTTGAAGCATTTAATATCCCAAGATAAATGTAGGGGAAGTGAACATATCTATTTCACTTTGTCAGTCTGTGCAGGGGAACAGCAGGGCATTGATTTAGAGAACATAGGCTAGGATTCTGCAGCACTCTTAAAATGTGTGGGAGGAATAAAAATCAATAACTTTGTTATCCTGGATTTTACTGTGACATTGTAAGGAGTAGTAGAAATCCACAGGGTATATATATGTGCTTCTATACAAAGGGACAGATCATCTTACTAGAGAAACTTAAGTTTTTAAATATGGTTGCAGGGGCTTTTTAAAAAAATCAACTTAAAAGTAACGTTCTACAGTTAGCTATTTTTCACACCCAGAACATGAAATCTTTTTTTTTAAATTTTATTAATTAATTTTAATTTATCAACAATCACTTCTATATGCTTTTGAGTTCAAAATTTTTCTCCCCCCCCCCCCAGACGGTGCACAATCTGATATAGGCTATACATTTACATTCCTATTAAACATATTTTCACATTAGTGAAGTTGTAAGTAAAAATTAAAACCAATAGGAGGAACCATCAGAAAGAGGAAACAGAACTCAACAGAAGAGAAAAAAAAGATAGCGATTCAACTTTCACAGTTATGATTACTGTCTGTGTCTTTTTCTCCATCCTTTTTTCCCCTGTTTATGCTTTTCTTTCTCCTCTCTCCCTTCCCCCCCTCACCAGTACTTTGCTTTTGACCACCGCCTCCTTCAGTGTCTCCTCCCTTCTATTATCCTTCGCCCCCACCGCATCTTCCCTCCCTTCCATCCCCCTTCCCTTTTCTTTCCCTTTTTCCCTCCTACTGCCCACAGGGCAAGTTAGATTCCATACCTAACTGATTATGTTATTCCCTTCTTGAGCCAAATCTGATGAGAGCAAGGTTCAAACAGTGCTCTTCCCCCTCCCTTCTTTCCCTCTGCTGTAATAGGATTTTCTGTCTTTTCCTGTAATATCATTTACCCTTGTCTGCCTCCTTTCTCGGTACATTTTCTAAGATCAGACTAATCCACTTACTTGGATCCATTTAACCCACTTGATTAGATTTTTTTTTATCATTACATCAAAGTCAACTAATATCCACCCTTTATGTATACTCCTTTAACATGGTGTAATAACAATACAGTTCTCAAGAGTTGCAAGTGTCATCTTCCCTTGTAGGGATGTAAACAGTCTGCCCTTATTAACAAACATTGTGTATCTTTCTGTCTCATTTACCTTTTTATGTCTCTCTTGAATCTTGTACTTGATGAGCTCTGGTCTTTTTATGAGGAAGGTTTGGAAGTTCCCTATTTTGTTGAATATCTATCTCCTCCCTTGAAAAATCATGCTCAATTTTGCAGGGTAGTTGATCCTTGGCTGCAATCCAAGCTCCTTTGCCTTACAGAATATCATGTTCCACACCCTGCGGTCTTTTAATGTAGAAGCTGCAAGGTCCTGTGTAATCCTGACTGTGGTTCCATGATATTTAAATTGTTTCTTTCTGGCTGCTTGCAGCACCTTCTCTTTCATCTGGTAATTTTGGAATTTTGCTATTATATTCCTTGGCGTTGTCAATTTGGGATCTCTTTCAGGTAGTGAGTGGTGTATTCTTTCTATGGTTATTTTACCTTCTGGTTCTAGGACTTCAGGGCAGTTTTCCTTTATGATTTCCAGGCTCTTTTTCTCATCATGATTTTCAGGTAGTCCAATGATTTTTAAATTGTTTCTTCTGGATCGGTTTTTTTTAGGTCAGTTGTTTTACCGATGAGATATTTTATGTTTTCATCATTTTTCATTTTTTTGTTTCTGTTTGACTGATTCTTGCTCTCTCATAGAGTCATTAGTTTCCATTTGTCCAATTCTAGTTTTTAACAGATTGTTTTCTTCTGTTAGTTTTTGTACTTCCTTCTTCAATTGGCCAATTGTATTTTTAAGGGATTTGTTTTCTTCAGTGTACTTTTTTTCCAGTTTGCCAATTGTGTTTTTAGGGACTTGTTTTCTTCAGTGTACTTTTTTTCCAATTGGCCAATTGTATTTTTTAAGGACTCTTCTACCTCTCTCATTAGACTTTTAAAATCCTTCTTGAGCTCTTCTAAGAAGGCTTTTTGGGCTTCAGACCAGTTCATATTCCCTTTTGATGTTGCAGCTGTGGGTTTGTTGACAAGGTTGTCCTCTTCAGAATTTCTGTCTTGATCTCCACTCTTCTTGTAATGTGAATCTATGGTACGTTTCTTTTTACTCATGCTTTCTTTATTCCCTGGCCTTTAAAGAGATTTAACTCTCCTGCGGGGGAGCAGAGGGCACTGGCCCAAGCTTCTTGTGTTGGGAGCCTAAGTCTTGGTCACTGGCTTTGTGTGCTGGGGCCTCTTATGTTGGCAATTGGAGGCTGTAGGGTTTTGGCAGCTTACCTCGTGTTGGGCTGGAATCAGCAAGGCTGGAACTTTCAGGCAATTCTAGGTTGCCTGCTTTTCCTTTCCTTTAACTTTCTTCAGCTCCTTTTAGATGAGTGCTGCAGGGTGTTTATCTGCCTGAGAACCCTTGCAATGCTGCCTCCCTCGTTTCTGCTAATGCACTGGGAGATTCCTTTGGCACCTGGTGGTTTTCTGAGCTGGTTTCCACCGGTTTTCCCACCCTCACTCAGGCACTTGGAGGTCCAGGTGTTGGTGTTTGCCTGCTCTACCACCTGGGCTTCAGGATCTCTTCCTGGTTGACAGTTGGAGGCTGTAGGGTTCTGACAGCTTACCTGGTGTCGGGTTGGAATCAGCAAGGCTGGGACTTAAGGAAGACTCTAGCTTGCTTTCTTCAGCTCCTTTCAGATGAATGCTGCGGGGTGCTTATTCTCCTGGTGCCCTTTGTAGTGCTGCTTCCCTTATTTTTGCTGAGGCACTGGGAGACCCATTTGCTGGGCTGCTGCACTGCTGTTTCCCTTCTTTCTTCTAGTTCAGCTGTTCCAGGGTTTGTTTTTTTTTTTCTAGGGTGATATTTTCTGGGTTTTCAGAGGTTGATAGGGGAGGGTGAGAGCGACTACCTTTTTACTCTGCCATCTTGGCTCCCATAGAACATGAAATCTTAATCTCAGAATTGGAAGTATGCCAATCTTAACATTTCTGCTATATTTATAACAAATAGTAAATATTGCATGAGAACAATTTCAAATGATAAAAATTATTTTTAATGATAAAGTTTAGAATTTTAAGCAAAATTTTGAGAATTAAATACTAGATCATAGAAAGTTGGAAGACAACCACATAACTAGTGCTGTTTTGTCATCTGTTATCTGAAGGAAGCAGAGGGACAGAACGGACAGTTGTAATGGACAAGTCAAAGGGGGAGCCTGTCATTAGTGTGAAAACCACAACCAGGTCTAAAGATCGGGTAAGTATCATGTTTGGATCCAGTTTCTCTGTGAGGGGCATGTAAAAACATTTTGGATTTATGTTATGAAAATTATTATTTGATCTTGTAAATTAAGAGTGTCCTAAGGCACTTTTACATGTTATAGTTTGGAAATATAAGAGTGTTTATTGGTTTTGTGTGTAATGTGTTTAAATATCAGTGATGGCTTGACATGTGAAACAGATTTTTTAGTATGTTCATCTTTTTTTAAAAAAATCCAAATTTTATCTTTTAGAGGGAAAGGGGAGAGAATAGAGATGAGAGAGAGCCTTCGGTTATGAGGCAGCACAATTGTCTTAGAATAATCCTTGGTTAGGAGAATTTAAACCAGTGGTTGTCCTGAAGTGCCAGAACATCATAAAGATTCCTTCTTAACTCTCATATTCTTAACGCAGTATTCCAGTTCCACTTAACAATCCGTTTTATGAATGATTCAGCAAGTATAGATCATCCCGATACATCCTTTTTTTTAACTGAAATTATATGTACGTACACAGAATTAAGATCTAAAACATGTTTTCAAAATATCTGCCCCCATTTTGCTGATACTCCATCAGACCACACCTCCTTCTGTGAAGTAAATTGACACAGGAAATACAGCTCACCATTGCAAGGGAAAGGCACAGACTTTCCAAGTTAAAAGGTAAGTTTTACTCGTTGGTTAATTTAATAGCAGTTTAAATTTTTTTTGGTTAATTTAATAAAGCCCTATTAAATTAACCAGAAAGTAAACTAGAATTCCTTTTAAAGTTGTCTTCCATACTATTAGATGGTGTGCTGCATTTCCTGTGATCTTGTATTCTACACTTAGGTGTTTAACGTAGTAGTGTGCTATTTGATTTTTTTTTTCATGACGGCAGCTGTAACCTTTTTAAAAAACAAAACGCTTTTACACATTGTATCTAGAATGGTTATTAAATTAGCTGAACTTTTTCTTAGCCAGTTCTCATATAAATTGATAAGCTTCAGATTTTCAAAGAATGTCAAGAACAGCAGGATTTATGGAAGTTGTCCTTGCCTCATTAGGCCATTTGCAATATTAGGTTTCTTCTTCTTAAGACTTTTTTGTCCAGTCAGAATGACTGGTAGAGTGGGGCAACTAGGTGGTGCAGTGGATAGAGCTTTGGCCCTGGATTCAGGAGTACTTGGGTTCATATGTGGCCTCAGACACTAAATACTCACTAGCTGTGTGACCCTGGGCAAGTCACTTAACCCCATTGCCCAGTCAAAAAAAAAAAAAAGGACAGAATGACTGGTAGAAAAGTGAAAAATTCAGTTAACTAGTAATTACAGTAAGTTTAACTGCACTTGTCATATCAAATCATAGCTATTTTACCTAGACGTATCCTATGTAAGTAGGTGGTTGCTCTCAAAAACTAATATTCTATTGAATTACAAAAGTATTTTGTCCCAGAAATGTTACTGTAGGAGAAGATTCATTGCACATGAGTTTTTGGACATTTCTGAATTTGTTTTTGTTTTTATTTTTTCTTTTTGAATTTTGAAGGCCTAATTTTCTTTATGTATGTGAATGAATGGCATTGCCTGAAACTTATTTACTTGATTAGTGGACTGGATTGCCTGTAGGCAGCTGCATGTACTCAGTTAAACTCCTTGGATTTATATTGTATTTATACTCTCATCTTTAAACCTCTTTCTTATTCAGGAATTATGATACTTCATATAAGTTAAATGGGACAAATGATCTTACTATGATTCAAATATGGATATTTTATTTTCACTGATTATTTGCTATTATTAGACTTTTGAGATTAATTTTTGAAAAAACTTTGGTAAACAGAGCTCTAAAAGTCAGGATCGAAAATCAGAAAGCAAAGAAAAGAGAGACATTTTGTCATTCGATAAGATCAAAGAACAACGGGAGCGGGAACGGCAAAGGCAACGAGAACGAGAAATCAGGGAAACTGAAAGGCGGAGGTGAGTAGAGAGCCAAAATAAAGTGTTGGCCTTTTTTTCTCCTGGAGTAAGTTACTGTTTTTTTTCCTCATCAGTATTTGGAGAGAGACTTCAGTTTCATTTCAGGTTGGACACTTAAATACATTCATTATGTTTTTAGCACCAGCAGACCAGATCACCAACTCTTAGAGGTTTTTGTTCTAACCAGTACCTAAGCAACAGTCCCTCCTACAACATAGCTAACAAGTGGGAATCCACGAAGGGGGAGTTTACTGTCTCTCAAGGCAACCCATTCTGTTTAATATCAGCGTGTTAATCTTCACATTTTCATCTGACAGAAGAAAGGAGAGTACTATAAGTAAATTGTGACAGAGGGGCTCTATGAAGAAGTTGGAACTTGGTCTGTGTGACTTGAAGTGGTTATTATTTTGATGAAAGAGGCTCTCAGCCAGCCAAGTCAGCAAGCATTTATTAAGTGCTAATTATGTGTCAGACACTATGCTAAGCACTAGGAATACAACAAAAGGCAAAGCCAGTCCCAGTCCTCAGACTTACTCTTGAATGTCTCTAGTTTTGACAGGTTCTAATCACTGATCCCAAAGGTATTCTCAAATAAAAATGGCCAGTTTGGGCAGTCATAGTTTAATTGTACTACAGGAAGGAGACGGATCAATGTCTGTCATGCTGTAAGAAGTCTTGACTATTAAAAAATTCCTGTGCTTCATTTAAATACTCTACATTTAAGGGTGGGGAAAAAAGTTTTTATAGCTTTTGGTTATCATACCACCTTCGGGTCTCAGCTTCCTATCTTATGTCAGATTATATGTTTAATCATCATTTAATGTAACAAAGGACTTTCAGCATACCTAACATTTAGGAATACTTTAAGCTGATAGCAGGTTGTCTTTTTAAAAATACATTTTGAAAGTCTATTTGGTAGCTATATGGAAGCTTGGGCATTACATAGTAGAAAATCTGTTAGAGGAGGAGACCTAAGCTCATATCCCCGCTCTAATTATAGGAGTATAACCACGAGCAATTTTATCTTTCTTTCCCAGCCTCAATTTCGTCATCAGTAAAAATGGGCGTGATACTTAATTATACATTGTATGACATAATAACAATCATAGAATTTGTGTGAAGAAAAGACTGTGTAATACCATACATACCATGTGGTTATTATCATTTTTAGGGATATTCATTAGACTTAAAGGACTTTGTAAAAGATGACTCCACATAGAAAAATTCATGTACTTAGAAATGGACATTTCTACTCTGTGTAGAGATTTTGCTTATCAGTGTAATGATTTCATTACATTTATGTCTTATAAAATGCTTTATACAGTCTTGTGATCATACTGATTTTCTTTACAACCTAGGAAAGTGGGGCTCATATGATACATGGGGACCTTTTCTGACTGAATCCGATGCCTATTCTACTACCACAGCCTTCTTTTTCCTGCTTCCGAAAACATCATCTATTTTGATTTAGAGATTAATTTTTTAATGCTTTAGTGAATATTTTCTCCCTTAATTCTCTCTTTAGTTCATTCTGTAAGTTTTTTATGTGTTAAATTTTTCCTATGTAAATTATGTACGGATCAGCATTGAGCAAATGAGTGTGACAATATTGCTATCTTCTGACTAGTTGAAAAGGACAAGCAGTCAGTGTTGAAAAACAAAACAAAACATTTTTACGTCTTTACATTTTGGAGAAAGTGCTTATTTTGTGTGTTAATGAACAGTTGAGTAGTGAGGTTATCTCTTGTTGAAAGAAATTGTGAGCTCAACGAGAAGGGTTCCCGCTCAGGAATATTTGTGTTTAACCAGAGAACGAGAGCAGCGGGAGCGGGAGCAGCGAATCGATGCCTTCCGAGAACGAAAAGAGAAAGCCAGGCTGCAGCGGGAACGTGTGAGGCTCGAGTGTCAGAGGCAGCGGCTTGAACGAGAGCGAATGGAGAGAGAGAGACTAGAGAGGGAGAGAATTCGTGTGGAGCAAGAAAGGAGGAAAGAGCAGGAACGGATCCATAGGGAGAGAGAGGAGCTTCGGCGCCAGCAGGAGCAGTTACGCTATGAACAGGAGCGGAGGCCTGCTCTGAGAAGACCTTATGATGTAGATTCAAGGTAAGGGCAGCTGCTTTTGTGGAAGGATGATCAGTCGTGCCCCATGTTCTTGTTTGTGCATCATTCAGGTGCTGGGGATACAAAGATGATTGTGACATAGGCCGTGTTCTCAAGGAGTTTACAATTTAGGGGAAAAACATAGGCACATGTAACTGATGGGGAGATGGGGAATGGGAAGAGTCCAGCCAGTTTTGACCTGACATTGACTGTCAGGCTTGGCTTTGTGGAGGTTGTAACATTTGAGTTGGACCTTGAAGGAAACTGGGGATCTCGGGTTACAGTAAGAGTCTATTTGAAAGGTGGGAGAAGTGGTGTTGATTATTTTCATTTCTCTTTTAGCATGTATAATTGAAAGTTGGTGGAAGTATAGTTATAGAAATATATCGGTTGCCATATCTTGATACATTGTTTGGAACATAGTGAGCCATAGAAATTTATAATTTTTTCGCCATGAAGTTATTGAATGATTCATTTCTTTTGGATTGAGGTCCTTGTAAGTGTTCTTGGCAGCTGATACTTTCTGAAGGGTCTTAACTGATCCTTTTAAAATCGCTCTTAGAGTTGAGAAGCACCTTAGGACACCTCAGTCCCTACCTGAAGATAATTCCTTTGAGTTTCTCCAGTTCCATTACTTGTTAAGATATTTGTCTTGAAAAAACCTTAAATATCGATTATGCCTAAATTGCTTTGGTAGCCTTAGTCCAGTACATCCTTTGTACAGCTGAAGAAAGGATGAGTAAAGGGTATTAAAGAAACTTGTCCATGGATTTAAAAAGTAAGTTTATTGTTCTTCAATATACCATTGGCAATAAATTGGTAATTATCACCCTACTAGCTTTGAGTCTAATTTTCCTGCAAAATTCAACAAAAGGTAATTGGATAGTATCCTAATAGGTATTCCCTGTTTTAATTATGTTGGCTTTATAGGAAACTTGGGAAGAGGCTCAGTTTAGGGTAGGTAGACATTCAAGGTAGAAAGTCATGCTTTATCATTCCAGGAGAATCAAATATTTCATTTCACTCTTGTTCAAACACATGCAGGGATAAGGGTGTTAACTGTCTTTATACAATTAGCTCACAGCAGTCTTTTTCTTGAGATTGTCAAATTAGAATGCCAGTACGCTTCTTGGCAGTTTGAGGGATTTTAATTTATCAGATCAAAATGATAATGATTGAATGTACAGAGATCAGCCCTGCAGGACATTTTAAATGAGACTTGGTCTAGAGAGAGTGCTTTTTCTTCCCTTTTTTCTTTTATTCTTTTTCTTAAATTAACTACTTTTTTTTTTGGGAATACAAACAGACGAGAGGAATATTGGCCAGAAGGAAAACGAGCTGCTCTCGATGACAGATACCGATCTGAGTTCAGCCGACAAGATCGTTTTCATGATTTTGACCACAGGGACCGGAGCCGGTACCAGGACCACTCAGTAGACAGGTTAGCCCTTCTCATTCTCTTCATGCTCAGAAATGTAGGCTCAGGTATTTAGGCATTTTGTTTTCTGAATAGGACATAGATGCAGTTGTAAAATTGTTCTTTGTGATTGAGCTTTACTTTTGGAACATGTTAACCAAGAACTTTTGACTTGCTGAATCTATGATCCCTTCTTAGATACAATGAACAGATTGGATGGCATGTAGAAGTTGCTGAGCAAACTTACAGAACAATAGTTTCAAAGCTGATAGTGGAATATTTTTGCTAGGGTATCTAAGCATTAGATTTTTCTCCCTGGAAAATTGGTTAGAAATGAAATCTGTGCCTTGTGGAAATAATGTTAGATTTCACTTCAGAAATTTGATTTAGAGTTCATGAGAATGATAGAAAGCACTACCCATTGATATTTTAATAATTGTTTTTGTTCTTTCTCGCTTATGAAACATATGGTAATGTCAGTTTTCTCAGGTTGTTCTTTCCTTGAGCACAGGCAGTTAATTAGTACCAGAATCTAGTCATAGTCCATCATTCTTTTTATACAAACCAGGTTCTTGGCCTGACATTTTGGTGTTTCCTTTTAGGTCCATTGGTCCATTAAAAAAATAAATAAATTAGTCTCAATTTTCAGAAAATATTAGGTTGTCTAAGATTTATCTTTGAGTCACTCACATTTACCCACACCATTTCATTCTTCCATAGCTACTCCATGTTTTTTAGACTTCTACATTTTAATTTAAATCATCAGATGTTTCCCTTCCACTGATAATACCCAGGGTTCCTTCACAGATCTAGCAAAGAGAATAAAGTACAAAAGGCAGAGTATATTTCATTTCCCATTAGGATCTAAATTTTGGGAAACTGGCCATATGAATCAGTCCCTATTTTAAATAGGGATGTGCCTGCTTTGTGGAATTAGTTCCAAATTTTTGATTCTGTGAATCCTATAGCTCTACTTTGAGCTGCCTGTCTTTTGGCCATTTCAGTGCTCATTAGCTCTTCTACCAGAGGAAAGAAAGGAAAAGAGATGAAAGATGAATCGTAAGGTAGTTAATTTCATTATTTATTATTGTTAGCTCTGGGAAAATATTTGGTAGAAGAGAATTGGACTTGTTAGTTAACAGTCAGAAGTTTTGGCACTTCTGTAGATTTTGTATTCATCTGGGCTATCTTTGTTCCCTTTGACCACTTCATAAATGATTGAAGTTCTGTCTCAGTGGTGTGAAGTTTCATGTCAGAGATTTGAGTAAATAGAGGTGGTTGTGGAAGATTTTTGCAAGGGTATCTAAGCATTAGAGTCACTTCATTTTTTTCCCTGGAAAATTGGTTAGAAATGAAATCTGTGCCTTGTGGAAATAGTGTTAGATTTCACTTCAGAAATCTGATTTAGACTTCATGAGAATGATAGAAAGAATTACCCATTGGTATTTTAATAATTGTTTTTGTTTCCCAGGAGGGAAGGTTCAAGGTCAGTCATGGGAGAAAGAGATGGGCAGGTGAGTTAAATCTTGAGATCTCCTTCTAACACATTCACTCTTCTTGGTAGTTTAAGTAACTTTTAGACTTGAGCTCCTCCTGATGATTATTAGTATGGCAGAATTAGTGACAGGGTGGGTATCGCAGCGGAGCCCTTGACTTGAAATCACAAGGCGTAGGTGCAAAGCCAGACTCCAGCATTCATTAGCTCTGTGACCTTGGCTAGCTTTTTTCATTCCTTTGGGGATTAAATATAGAATAGGAACAATATCTGTGCCATACACCTCATTGGATAGGGAGGGGGACAGAGATGAGGAAGAGTACTTGGTAAATCAAAAAAAGTGTGAGTTACTTTTTTTTTACTTATTAACTATAGAGAGTCAAAATAACTGATAAGAATCTGATTTAAAAAAAAAACACCTAAGTTCTTGTGTACAAGTGCCTGCCACTAGACATTCTAGATACGGGGTTAGGGGAGCAGGTACTAAAAAAGTATGGCGCAGTGTCTGTGTTGAAGGTGTTCAGTGTTATGAAGAAAGGATGTGTTTGTGAGAAAGTTGACAGTCATGTGATAGAATATTCAGGGCCAAATGAATATTTTATTAGAAGGTTTTATAGGATCATAGATTTAGAGCTGAAAGTGGATTTTAGAAGTCACTGAGTTCAGCCCTTTGTTTTACAGATGAAAGAATGAGTCCCAGGCAGCTTAAATAATATACCCAGGGTCACATGCTAGTAAGTGTCAGCTGGGATTTGAACCTGGATTTCATTGATTCCAAGCCCAGTGCTCTACTGCAGTGGTGTCACACCAAAATAGAAATGAGAACCACTGATCTGGAGATAAGGATCCCTGTGGGCTGCATATTGACTTAGTTTAAAAATGTAACGTTAGTTATCTGTGTCTTATTTTATTCGTTTTGTTAAATGTTTCCCAGTTACATTTGAATCAGGTTCAGGCTGTAGTTGAGAGTGCTGCAGGCCTGTGAACTGCATGTTTGGAACCTCTGCTCTACTGCACTGATTGTCAGCAGGTCGTGTGGCCCATGTGAATTCCCTCACATACCAAACAGTCTGAACAGTGTAGGGCCAGAGGTGGGTGAGCGGAATAAGCCCCTGGAGCATGGTCTCTGGAGAGCCAAGTGATGTAGAGTATGGAATGCTCGAGGATGATTGGAGTGGGCTGGCTTGATAGATTAGGCCATGTTTGATTCCTCTAATAAGTTAGTCAATATCATATCAAAAGATTGAGGAAGGTATATGAGAGCTTTGATTCATTTCTTTGGTTTGTCTTGAATATTTTCCAGAGCCATGATTCATAATCATGATGTTAATAGTTTTCATTTCCACAACTACCTTTGTTATCAGAATGTTGTTGTTGTTGTTGTTTTTTGCAAGTTGATGGTAGTCTAATAGCAATGGGTATTCTAACCAAAATTCTTCATATTGATCACAGGGGTGTGTGTCAAGGTCCAAATATATTTTGTGTCCCTTTTGATTTGTTAACTTTTTTCTGTTGAAAGGTGGAAAGGTGCTACCTCATCAAATAAGTTTGAGTATTATATTCTTTATCCATGAATATCATTTTATTATAAGTCGTGTAGTTACTTCCTGATTCTCTAAAGCTGTCATTATTACATAGCTTTATTCAGCAGAACAGAAATAGGAACTTTTACCAGTTAGTTGAGAAGGAAGGAAACAAGTGTTTTTTAAGTGCCTACTATGTACCCGGTACTTTAAGTACTTTACAAACGATATTTCATTTGACCCTAATGACTGTCCTGGGAGATTGATGCTGTTATTATCCCCATTTTACAAATGAGGAAACTGAGGCTGAGATATTAAGTAGTTTTCCCAGGGTCAACAAGCTAGTTAAGTATTTGAGGTTAGATTTGAATCCAGCCCAGCTTCCACTGCACTACCTAGCTGAAAGGTCAGAAGGTATGTTTTAGGAGTAGGCTAACATCCTTGTGCCTGTGAGCTGGGGTGTTCAAGCAAGAGGTAGCCAGTGGGGGCAGGGGATGGGGGGATGGGTGATGCTAAGGAACATCTTTTTTCTAAATTAAATACGGGTGTCATTTGTGAAAGAAAAAAAAAGTTAGGAGTCCTATAACATAGTAAGAGGCTAGACCTGGGTCCCCATTAGTATGAGTAGCAAATCCAGTGAAGTGGTTTTATTAGTTAAATTCACATGGCATGTTTCCACAAGATTGGAACCAGTTGCCATATTTTACATAATTTTAACTTTAAATGGTACCAACTTGAATACACATGACCACTTGACAGGATTCATCTACACTCTTTGGGATCTAGCTGTGTAAAAAATGGTGTTCAAGCTGATGACTGAAGTGGAATGGTAATGAAATGAGTTTTTAAGCTAAATCTTACATCTTAAATGTCAGTAACAGGTCTATTCAGTGAAGCCTAACTTTGAAGTGACTAGCACAAAACTAACGCTAACACAAAAAAGGTGGTGAGGCAGTGTTTTTCAGTTGGAAGAGGACTGAACTTAGATTAAGGTTCAAATCCTAGCCCTGATACTTACTAGTTGGTATGACTTTGGGGCAAGTTTGTTTACCATTTTCACTGGAAGTTTCGTCATCTTGCACATAGGATTGTCACGAGGAAAGGTAGCTTTGCAAAGTTAAAGCATGGCGTAAAAGTGAATTAGAAGGATTGGTATTTTGTTCTGCGTGGGTGTTAGCAATCTAATGAACAACAGAGCGTTATTGTGTTACTTTTCTACCTTTTAGCACTATGCAGATGATCGCCATGGAGGACCAGAGCGCCACGGACGGGACTCACGAGATGGGTGGGGCAGCTATGGTTCTGACAAGAGAATGAGTGAAGGAAGGGGACTGCCACCTCCACCACCCAGGTTAGCAATGTTAAGGAGAAAAATTACATGCGCCGGATGTTTTTGTGTCGTATTTCATGCTATTGGCAGTCTAGTGGCCATACTAGTCCTCTTAACAATTCAGTTCAGTGAGACAGTTTTGCCTAGAAGAATATTCTTCAGTAGGGAGCAGCCAGGCCTACTTGGTTTTGGCTTGGAAATCTGGGAGTTTTACCCAATTCTGGCTTTTTGTTTAAAACTGCTTGAGGTATTCAGGGCCATTTACTACGAAACAACTCCCATCTTCAAAGGAAAGACAAAGGTGCCTAGCATCATGCATTATGGCATTCCAAAACAGAATCTTACTGAAAATCTTTTAAAGTTTACTTTAGCTGCTTTTTGATGGAAATCTTTACACATACACGCCTCCCAATTTTCTTAGAGTGTACTGAACATAATTTTAACATTTCTTGATGGTGATGAAAATTATAGCTTGCATTTCTTTTGCTCCTTTACGCTTTACAAAATGGTTACTTCACAACCTGTGAAGTAGACAGTGCAAATATTGTAGCTGTTTTACAGATGAGGAAATTGAGTCTCATAGATGTTAAGGGATTTGCCAGTCGTGCCAGCTGAGATTTGAACCCAGGTCTTCTGACTCCATATCTAGTTCCTTTCCAACACTTCTAGCCATCAGACCTGTTCATCACACTTCATTGGTATAATCTCAGTTGTTTGGTGTAAGATCTTTCTGTCGGCAACAGAGAGAGTTTTTCTTCTCCCCCATCCCCACCCCCACCCCATTTTTAACTCCATTGCAGTGGATAGTACTTCACATTTGGAATCTGTGGACTTAGATCCTGCTTGAGTTTAGTAATTATCTGATCTTGGGCAAGTCAGTTAAGCATTTGTTTATTAAGTACAGACAGTTCTCCCTTTACATAAGTGGACTGTTCCACAGACCTCTATGTGATGCAAATTTGCCCCTACCCACCCACTTCACTTAGCCTATATAACAAAGATACACACAAAGTAATACCTTTATTCAGGTCACAAAATGTACTAGAATGCAGATATATTAAATACTGTGCTGTGATAATAAACAGAATAATGAAATGAAGGATAAAGTTAATAATAATGTTTGCTCAGTACTGTATAGTAAAGTTAGCATAGATGTGCAGTATATTGTTCCTTCCCCAACCCCTGCGTCTAGGCTTTCTCACTGGTGGCTGGCTGTACAACTTTTTTTTATTAAATTATCAGGAGATGTTTGGATATCTTTTTTCACTCCAGTGATGCAGTGTTTCTGCCACTTGTGAACTTTTTTGGTTCAGCTGAGGGTTCCTAAGCTTCCCTTTCTTCTTCTGTAGTCTTTGTAGCTAGCTGCTCTGTCAGATCCTCATTCAACATTTCTTCTCCAGGAGACTCAGTTGACTTGTCTACATTATTCTTATCCACTTCTAGCTCCAATTCATGTGCCAATTTTACTATTTTGTTACTCAATTCCTTGAACATTTTATCTTTGTCAAATACATGAAAATTGGGTATGAACTGTGGGCACACTTTTTTCCCATACTCTCTTCGTACATGTTTCTGTTACGTTCTTTTTTTACCCCCAAAGCAACTTTCTTTAATTCATCTTGGGAAGTGGAAGCCCCTGAGGTGGTTCCCTTATCTCCCACTCTTATGTGACTCCTCCCTGCCCTTCTCCCTCAGTAGACTTCTTTGCATAAAGTCTAATTTTGCATAGTGTGATTTACATAAAGAACTATCTGTAATTGCTTACTGTGTGCCAGGCACTATACTAAGTGCTGAGGATTCAAAGAAAGGCAAAAAATAGTCCAAGCCCTCTAGGAGCTCACAGTCTAATGGGAGAGGCAAGTGTGGAAATAACTGTGAGAGCTATACAGATTAGATGAGGGCAGGCAGAAATAGAGTTATATCTCTCCTCCCTACTATAGCTATACCCCTCTGAAGAAAGATGGTCCACAATCTCTTAACTCTCTGCAGTGTGGCTTCTAACCTCATCATTCAGCTGAAACAATAAGTTACCAATGAGTTCTTAATCACCAAAATGAAGGGCCCTTTCTCAATTTTCAACCTTCTTGGCTTCTTTGCAGTATTTGACACTGTCACTCTCTTTGACATTCATTCTTATTTCCCAGTCCTTAATTTTAGTGCCTTTTCTCTATTTATTATATCTATCCTGTATGTATGTATATATCTATTGTTTATACAGGTATTTGTATGTTGTCTCCCCCATGAGAGTTTGAGCTTCACGAGAGCAGGGACTGTGTTCTACTTTTCTTTGTATTTAGCAACTAGCAGAGTGCCTGATAACATAGAAGGCAATAAATAAATACTTCTTGACTTGCTTTGGCTTGATATTGAAAAGAGAAGTAATTAAATCTATCTGAGCCTTACATTCCATATCTGTAAAATGATGGCATTGGACTGAAGTATCTCTGAGGTCTCTTCTGGCTTGAAATCCTTTTTCTCAAGTTTGGAACTTGGGTTCTTTTAACAGTTTTTGCTCTGGTGCATAGGTTTTAATTGTTAAGTGTCAGAAAGAGTCTATGGGAGCTCTGATGTTGGAGATAAGTTGGTGTAAATGCTCCTGTCCCTTCTGATTTAATCAGTTTTGCCTGAAAAATCATCAGAAAACTTAAAGATGAGGATTTGCCCAAGCATATTAAACAATATTAATATTTTATTATGACTATAGGCTGAGCCTGTCTGATATAATTACATATAATTGTACGATTCTCTGTGACTTCATCATAGTCTACCTTTGAAAATCAAGCCAATTAAGCTGTCACATATATTCCTTTACTATACAGGCTATACTGATATTATACATGGGAAGTTAATAAAAATCAAGATATCTTTTACATGTTGGTGTGTTTGCCCTAACGACAGTGAGATTCACGTGGGCTTTGTAAACTGTGTACCAATTTAGGATTTTAGTTTTAGGATACAGATTATCTATGCCTATCTAATTTTGACATTACAATTTGGAAAGTAGCATTAGAGCAGCTGTTGGTCTTTATTAGATCAGGAATAGCAAAAAGAACCATATTCTCTTTGTCTAGTCCTATTCTAATAAAGGAAAGAAACTGAGGCCCTGAGAGATTAAATGTCTGACAGCATCTGAAACTGGCCATCAAACTTTTTACCGCCCTATCTCAGTTTCGATTAGAGAAATTGACTGTCATTAAATAAATACTATAAGGAATAGTTATACAAGAACCAAAAATGTCATCTAAGTAATTTTATTTTATCATTTATTCATTTATTGGTAAAGGGGTGGCCGTGAGTGGGGAGATCACACCCAAAGGATAGAAGATCATCAGGATCGGTCTTGGCAGGGCAGCGTGGACGGAGGAATGATGGGCCGAGATCATGAGAGGTGGCAAGGTATGGGGCCAATTTACTATGAAACTTACCAGTTTGGAGATTCCCTAATGTGACCTAGGTCCCTTTTTTCTTTCTCTCACATGTATACCATCTAAACTCTGGGAATCTCAAAATAAAATTATCTTTTAAGTCACATTCAAATATTTGAAAACTTTTTTTCATATTTTCTAGGTGGTGAGAGAGGCATGTCTGGTCACTCAGGACCAGGCCACATGGTGAATCGGGGAGGAATGTCGGGGTAAGAAGTTTTGTCCGACGATAGTTGATTTGTTCCTGCTTCTTCACTTGCTCTCCCTTTTAAACACACACTCTCTCTTTTGCATGTTAGTTCAACTTGCTTGGTTGAATGTTTTGAAAACAAATCAGATATTTCCAACTTATGCAAATAACCTTCTTCAGTTTCCTGGAATTCAGTGTGTGTGTGTAGTGCTTTTCTCATCTGGTGCATCTGATCAAGAGGGGAAAAAAAAAATCAAGAGAGATGTAAATGCTACAGAATCATACTGAACAATGTTGCAATGAAAACTTTTAAAAAACACTTCAAGGAAAACAGTTTGAATTTGTTCCTAGGCGTGGCGGCTTTGCGCAAGGTGGAAACTCCCAGGGCCACGTGATGCAGGGTGGTGCAATGCAAGGCAGAGGATTTGGAGGACAGGACAGAGCCAACCGAGGCAGTCACCCTCACTTCACCCGCCGATACTAAGTAGTAACTTGTTGTTTTGGTGTTAGGTGGCGGCAGTATTGAGTTCTTTTAGCCAGGGTTCCCTTGGACTTGTGGGTCTTTTTTTTTTAAACTCTGCCCCCATATTGTAGCTCAATACAATGTGAACTTATTTGGGTTTTTTTGTAATAAATGTGTTTTTGTTCATACCATTTCTTTAAAGAGTTTCTGTTAATGAAGCATTCCATTTTCCATTAATAAAAGTTTACAGTTACTACTGTTCTTTTGTTTCTCTGGAGTTTGATAAAGCTTTATTACACAATTGAAGTCCAAAAATGCTGTCTTGCCCCATCATTTACTTGTTGGGAGCTGAAGCCACTGTGTTGTCTTGAATGTTACACACCATCTCCTCCTCCTCCTCCTCCTCACTGCTGATCCCTCAGTTTCAGTGTCTGAATTACACAACATTATTAACCAGATGAATGGGGAAACCAAGACCCATAGGGGAAAGGTTGCCAGCAACATCACAAAACAAGTCCGTGGTAGAGGAATTCAGATCTACTGGAACCGAGGCAATTCCCTTTTCCTTATGTACTCTGATACTTCAAAAGTTCTTGTTAGTAAGAAGTGTGGTACATAGCTATATCTGACAGTATTAGTCTCTCATGATCTGGCCCCAATCTACTATTCCATACTCATTAGTACATTACTCCTTTTCCCTGCACTCTATCCAGTTTTACCTTGACTGTTCAATGATGCTTTGCCTCCTATCTCTTTGAGCTGGCTGTCCTCATGCATTGAATGGTGTATTCTCAACACACACACCTCTGCCTCATAGAGTCTTCAAAACAGTTCAAGCACTATTTAATGCATGAAGCTTTTCCTGATCCCACCCTCCACCCCAGTAGTTAGTGCCCACCCATTTTCCCTGACCTACCCCATATTTATTCTGTATATGCTTAAGTATTCTATGTCTTCTCCAATAGAGTACAAGCTATTTGAGAACGCGAGCTGTTTGATTTTTCTCCATGTCTCTTCATCACTTTGCCACAGTGCCTGTCACATAGTAGGTACCTGTAATCAGTGCTTGCTAATTGGATCCTAGGATCGCAGAAATTAGAGCTGAAAAGTATCTTAGAAATCATATAATCTTAAAAGGTTTGCAATGTCTCCAGGGCCTGGTACTTTTGCTCCTTTTATATCTTTGTTAAACAGCAGATCCTACAACAGGATTATGATAAGCATGACGAGGTTTTCAATTTATTCAGCTCTCCCCATTAGAAACCTAAAACTTTTGAAATTAGCTTTGGGATAAGTAATTTAAGTATGTTGTTAGGGTCCCCAGGGACCATGTAGTGAACAGTTTCAAATGATGAAAATCACAGATAATAGAAGGTCATTTACTGAGACAACTATTTGTATTTCAGTATTTCAGAGATAGTGTGATTTTTATTGGCATTGATACTTCTTATGAAATAGCTACAAACGTCTGCGTTACTATGATAAAAAAATAACCCTTGGTCCCAGCTTTCTAGTGACCATCTCATGATTCCCTAGGCCATTTCTCAGATGACAGTCCATTCCCAAGTGTTTAGGTGAAGTCTTTCCAGTTTGGTGGTTCACTCGACATAGCCTTCAAGGACAAAGGTTTAATTACCCCAGGATCTCAGTGTTGGAGGGGTTTTGGGAGGCCATGCAATGCAACTCATTACCTGAACACAAGTCCCCAGTAGAAGATGGGTGGTCATCTAGCTTTCACTTGAAGGATGGTATTGAGGTCTTCAGTGGTGGTATTGTGAAGTGGAAATAATTCAGAAGTGTAAGTTGTCAAGTTTCAAATTAGGTTCCTTAGAAATAACTGAGGACATCTCTTGTCATTACAACAGGAAAACAAGGCAAGGGGAGTTGTGATTTGTATGGCAAGTTCAAGGAGCAAAGGTGAGATTGAACTCTGGTCCTCTTCTTGCAGATCTGGGACTCTTGGTAATTTCCTGCCTTCTTCATAGGTTCACAATGTTAAAATCAGAAGGGACATCGTTTGGTGCAATCTTCCAATTTTAAGGGTAAAGAAAGTCTAGAGAGTTCAAGTTGCTTGCCGAAGGTCACACAACTAGAATCTGAACATCTGGCATTCAGACTTGTGAATTGGAACAACACTTTTCATCCATCATATGTGAAAAAAGGGGATAATATCAAATGCCTAGAAAAATCATTTTTGTGGGGCAGGGGGAGGTGGGCCTGTTGACTTTTTCAGTGTCGCTGCAAATCAGTAATTTATAGTCTTAGAAAATTGTCATGAGGCATCGACGGGCTAAAAAATAAACTCAGCTTATTGTCTAAAGATCATAAGATATGGTTGAATGGGGCAGCCTGTAGCTTGGCCATCAGTACAGCTGTCTTGATTAGAGACTGCCAGTGAACACCAAACAGGACCCAGCATGTAACAGGAGAGTAGTCTGGATTCCATTTGGGAAATAGTGCAGTGCTTTTAATGAGCCCAAGTTTCTCCCTGAACAGAAGCTCATCTTTTTAAAATTACTCTTTTTACAGAGCTTCTTTGTATCCCCAAGTGCTTAACATGGTGCCTGGCACATAGTAGGTACCTGATAAATGCTTGTTAACTTGATGGCTGGAGACCGTGGGAATCTTAAGGTCATCAGAGAATTCAAGTTTCAGGTCATTAAAAAGACAAGGGAGAGATGCATGCTTAGTATGAGTAGGCTGCAACTTGTTTATCAAGGAAATACTGTGCTGAGTAATGGATGATTAGGAGAAGGAGGGGTGGGCAACGTCAAGGTGTCACCAAGGCACAGCCGTGGCCTTGTGATCCATCAGTACCCACAAAATGTGAAGTGCCGCCTCTTAAGAGGGACCTTTCCCAATCCTTCCAGTTACTAGAGCTTTCTCTTACCCTGTGAAATTCATTTCTGTTTAGTATCTCTGTCCCTCTGAAAAATAGAGATCATGGGACTTGCACTCCCTATCTCATAGGGTTGTTGTGAAGAAAGTCTTTGCTAAACCTGAAAATGCCCTAGGAATGGATTAATTAGTCCTGTTTCAGTGGGGGTTTTCCAGAATTAGGTCCAAGGTGCCATCTACCATGGATGGTCATAACATCTTGAACTGAGTGCTTCATACCCTTCTCCTCCCATACTTATCTGCAACTGATGCATACTTTTGATGGATTTTAGAACTGACATATTCCTAGTTTTTTCCCTGGGCCAAACTGCTGCTAGTCATTTGAGAGTTAAAAATGGTCCAAATAGGACCCTGGAAACCTGGCTGTCCCTTCCACTGTCCCTAGAAATCTGTCAGTGTCCCTGCTTGAGCTCTCTGAACTATTGTCCGTCCTCACAAAATGCTCCAGTTTTCCTTCTGGCATGTTCTGTTCTAAAAGTGAATTTGAAAATCCACTCTCCAGGTAGCGGGTGAGATAAAAAAACATTAAAAGCAGGTTGGTGGATACACCACGAAGCTTTTGGGGGTTGGAATTGAAATGGGTAGCAATTCTCTGAGCTTTCCTGCCTGAGTGGGGGCTCTGAGTCATTTTTGGAGAGCGGTCTGCTCTGAGCCCCATGTCATGTAGGAAAGCCTGCAGGCATAGCTGACTAAATTCAACATCCCTCACTTTACTGTTGCTACAGATTTGGAAATAATTCCTTCATGTCTCCAAGGGGAGATTTTTGAATTCTCACTGGGAGCTTTGGTTAACTGAAAAGCTGAAATCTCAAGACCAGTAGCACACACCAGCTAAAGTTATGTGACTGACTGTTGAATTTGGCCTGCTGTTCCCAACCTTCTGAAGGCTGTCACACTGTTCAAATCAATGCAGTTTGACAAATGTTCATTAAACATTTACTATGTGCTGGGCACTGTGCTAGGCAGCAGAGATAATGAAGACAAAAAAATAAAGCAGCCCCAATCTCAAGCTCCTCAGAGAGCTTATATTCTATTGGGAGAAATCACATGTACTCACATAAGTAAATGCAAAATAAATGCAAAGTAAATTTTTCAGGTTGGTGGGAATCAAGGAAGGCCCAGTGTAAAGAGGTTAGCACTTAAGTTGAGACTTGAAGGGATCTAAGGGTTCTAAGTGGTGGAAGAAAGACAGCATTCCAGTCTTGACAGAGGTTCAGAGGTGGGAAATGTAATGTCATGAACAAGGAACATCAGGTAAGTCACTGTGTGATTTACTGTCTCCTAGATTTTTTTATTCAAGATTTTTTAGGCAATTGGGGTTAAGTGACTTGCCCAAGGTAACACAGCTAGTAAGTGTCAGGTGTTTGGTTTGAGGTCAGATTTGAGCTCAGGTCCTCCTGACTTCAGGGCTGGTGCTCCATCCACTGCGCCACCTAGCTGCCCCCTCCTAGATCTTTAATTATTCAGCTCCCCTCAGGTAGGGTGATGGAGAGAGAGAATCATATGGTAGATAAGAGAGACAGCATAGTCCTGGATTTGAGATCTGGCTAAACCAAATATGCAAGCTTGGGCAAGTGATTTTACTGCTAGGAACCTCAGTTTACTCCTCTACAAAATGGGGATAACAATACCCTTCTCAGCCTCACAAAATGGTTGTCAGAAAACTGATCAGAATTGTGGGACCTTAGAGATCATTTACTATCCCTCATTTTACAGATGAACCAACTGGCGCTGAGAGAAGTAAGTAAAAGCACTTGCGACGAAGTGCCACAAAGATAGTAAGGAACAGAACCAGGATTCAAATACAGGCCCTGTGATTCCAGGTGCAACGCTCTTCCCACCGCACGACTTCATCTTTACAAACTATACTTAAAGTTTTTTTTAAATGATATTTTTTTCCCCCAAGTACAGGTGAAAATAATTTTTAACATTTATTTTTAAAAAATTTTGAGTTCCAAATTTTCTCCCTTCCTCACTTTCTCCCTCTCTGAGACGGTAAACAATTTAATGTAGGCTGTGCATGTTCAGTCATGCAGAACATGTTACCGTATGAGTCATGATGTGAAAGAAGACACGGACCCAAAAGGGGAAAAAAAAACTCAAAAAAAAAAAGTAAAGAAAGTGAAAAATAGTATGCCTTGATCTACATTCAAGGTCCCATCAGTTCATTCTCTGGAGGTGGACAGCATTTTTCATCATGAGTCCTTTGGAATTGTCTTGGATCATTGTATTGCTGAGAATGCTTAAGTCATTCACAGCTGATCATCATGCAGTATTGCTGTTACTGTATGCA